AGCTCTACTGACCAATGAAGCTGTTGTGCCAAACTGGCTGCTTGTAACTACTCAAGTTGAGTGAGGATCATTTGGCACCTGTAGACTTCAACTGAAGGAAATTGCCGTGGCACGTACTGTGTGCTGTTCTGTTCTAACTGCAGCAGTGCCTTCACTGCTTGGAGTATGATAAACCACAGTGTCACTCTAATTATGTTCTTCAGTTAACTAATTGCGACAAATCGACATGGTGTGCTTGTTCCTGTGCTGGTGTGTTTGCCTGTGGTGCTCATGTTTGATCATTTTGGTACAGTAGAGCTTTCAGCCAGTGAAACAACCTCTACAGCTTTGGTTTTCTGCTATTTACTTGTTCTTCTTTTCTAGATTATTTTCATGGTTGGCCGAGGGTATGCTTCTCCAGACCTCAGTAAATTGTATAAGAACTGCCCCAAAGCAATGAAGAGGCTTGTAGCAGATTGTTTGAAGAAAGTTAGGGAAGAAAGACCCTTGTTTCCACAAGTAAGTGTTTGTTTTTCTACAGATCGCAGTTTCAAAGTATTTTATAAATAGCCATTAGCACACAAAACATTCTAGATGGACACAAGCATTGGTTTAGAAACTGAAGGTAGATGCAGGAATGAAGTGCGGCATGCTTCCTCTTTTTGTGTTTATTCACATGTACCTTTAACAACCCAGCTCCCTTGTGCAGTTTATAATTCTGATTTAAAGGAATTATGTACAAAATCATTAAAAACTATATGCATGCTGACTGAAGGTGTGTTAGACTGACATTAGAACAATTTGCTTGCAATACCTGAACCATTTCAGAGATAAGCAAAAAAAAATAATGTTGTTTGTACGTTAATTTCCCTTAACCCTGCACTGAAATAAAAGAGACTGTTCCAATTTTCCTTGCCCCCAACTCTGTACAGGCAAATACAACTTGCTAAGGGATTTAAATTCACACGCCAGTTTTTGTTATTTTTACAAAGCATACTTGACCCTTATTCTGTCACGGTGAGGATGATTAAGGGACTTTTTTGTACTCATTAAAAACCTGGAACTGAGTAACTGCAGATGTTTTAAAAACATCTTGCTGTTACACTTAAGTGTAACTTCGGTTGTTGAAAGCCTCTTTCTGAATTTGGTTGTCTAAACAGATGATTAGGCAGAGGATGCAGTTCTTTCCCTGTGCAGAAGAAAAACTCTTTTCCCTATGCAAATCTTAGAGATTTGCATAGATACTTGCACATTGATTGTAATATCAATGAAATAATGAGACGTATCCTCCCCTCTCCTGAGACTCCCCGTAGCAATAAAAACGTACGGCAGAGTTCATTTGCTCACACTGGCACATTCCCAAAGTATTCCTTACAGTGTCTCTGCATAATGTATTGTGGTTCTTAAGGAGGTGTTTAAAGCAGAGAAGGTGCTTATCAAATAAAGGTGTAAGACTTAATTAGAAGGAGATGCAGCTCTAACATCTCTTTTCATTTTATGTGCATTTCCCTCAGATACTGTCTTCCATTGAATTGTTGCAACATTCTTTACCCAAAATCAACCGGAGTGCTTCTGAACCATCTCTGCATCGTGCAGCGCATACAGAGGACATAAATTCGTGCACATTAACATCCACAAGACTACCCGTTTTTTAGGATCGTGCGCCCCTTCCCTTATTCTCTCCAGTGATGGGAAAGAAACAGAAGTAACAGAAGTTGTGCTTTTAATGCCTCGGTGTACAGGATCAGTGCCAGCAGGATTATCCGCATCCCAGTTTTAAGAGCAAGCTGCTAAGGATGTCTGCAGTTCTTATCCTGCAGGGACACAGCTCCACATTGCCTTTTTCTACAGTTTCTTTTACTGGGATAGTTATCAGACTATAAATCAAGAGGTCTATTACTATTTTTTTAATAGATGCACTTGAGCCTTATTTTTCCCATACACAGAGGAGATGGATGTTTCTTCGGCAGTGTTTCTGGATTGATTTAAATCTGCTGATAAATTGGTATTTTACAGCAAGGATGGCTCGACTTGGCATTTGAGGAAAGATAATGTGTTTTGGTGCTCTTTGATTGCCCCAGGCCATCTGCCGCTTCAAGTCAGGGGAGTTTTGCTGGAAATGGGTATCTGCAAACAAGACTGAGGGAAGAGGAAAACAAAACAAAACAAAAAACTTTGTGGAAATCAGCTCCTGCCTAAGAGCTTTCATCAAGCCAATGAAATAAGTTAAAATGCTAATTCAACACGAAATAGTTTTGCAATAGTTTTGCACATAGAAGACAAACTCTTGCAAAGGAATGGAGTATATTCTAAACTGTACTGCTCAGAGAAGGAAGCTAGCCAGTCTTGCTATGGTCATCTTGAGTAACTTAAGCAGCTTATTTTGGTACTATTGACTTGTTTCTTGCAGCCCAATGAGGTGGTAAGTGCAGAAAGACAGGCTTTTGTGGCTGATAAAAGGCTAATTAACAGTATCAGTATACTTCTGCGAAATGAGCATTGTTTTCATCCCATCTGAAGCTGTCAGAGATGCACTATCAAGAGGAAACTGAGCATACACAGTTTTTCTTGCTGATTTGGGTTTTAATTTTGTTTTTATTGCTCCTGAGAAAATGCATTTATTGTAAGCCAAGGTTCCTCTGATTATCTTATTTTAATAAAATAAATTAAATTTTAGGTTTAAGATTCAATGTCATCATTTAATATAGTAAGCCATAGTTCTGACACAGACGTGTAGATCTGAAAAGTTCAAAAAAACAACAGAATAACTTTTTAAAGTTCTTAGGACAGATACTACTGTACCAGTAAAAATGGTAAAAACAGGTAAAACATACTTGATATGACAACCATCAGTTTCTGATCACTTGCATTACCATATGGTTTTATTCTACTGTAATAATCTTTCAGCAGCATCTACTTTTTAACATACCTATACTGATACACTATCAAGCTACTTCACTGCACCATTTTTGCTCTGTGCTCCATCTTCCGTAAGCTTTTTTTGCTTAGGTAGTGCGTGTTTTCTCTTGTCAACTGCGTATCAGCCAAGAAATTGGTGATTTAATCAAATTTACTCATAAATAGCATTCTTTTCAAATATGTTCATTAATGGAAGACAAATTTCCATTCTTGGGATTTTTACGTGCTTTGCAAGTATGGGGTTTGTATCCACATACAAGGTCTAGTGAAGAAATGGAACCACTTAGGCTAAACTGCTGCCTCTAAAATTTGTTAGGCAAAATGGAGATTATTTGTTTTGCCATGAATTTTGACATCTTCCATATGCAACTCGTAACTGCCTGTAATGTCAAAATAGACATTTCAGCTTCTAATCTGCAGCAAGCAAAAAAAAAAAAACAACAACAAAAACACAAAGCAATTATCAAGGAAAGGAATTTGAAGTATGTAAGCCAGAAAGGTTCTACCATGAAAATATTTAGACTTTGTCCTCAGAATATCAGTATAACATTATTGCCTAGGGAATAATATTTCCACGCTTACAATTGAGAATGATGACAAAATTCATGTTTAGGACTGATGAAAACAGTCCTGTAGAGTTCTGCATGCTTTTTATTAATATTCTTGGTATTTAAACGTAGCCCTCTCTAAATACCCTTGTCTCTCATTTTACCTTCAGTTTAATTTGAAAAAGTTTAAAAATGATAAAAAGAAGTGGAAAGCTGCTCTTACCTTAGCACTGAATTCCAAAAGAGGAACCATTAACTCCTAATTTTTAAAAACAGGTTATGTGTCTCTGGAAAAACTAAACAACATTCTTGATAAAAGCAAGAGGATTATTTTGAACCAGTATTAGGTATAGCATTAGATTTTGAAAGCTGTAAAATGAAGAATTTAAAAAGGTGTGAATTTGTCTTACCTCTCTTACATTAAAAGTTCCTTTTTCGTAATCCCTAGGTAATTTTGAAAAACAAGGTACCTTTAAATTTCAGATTCTTGTTTTCCCAGTTTGTTTTCATGGAGCAAAGTAAATCAGGCATGTCTTGTTTAACTTTAAGGTAAAGAATATCCTCTCCATTGTTCCCCCACCCCCCGTATATGTCACCACTGAAATATTTATCTCTGGGAAAAAAAAATGCAGGAATGGCCGAAAAAAAGCTCCAGCAGGGAGGCTAAAGGGTGCAACTATTTAACTATTTTAGGGTAGAAAGTATGGCTGGGCTGGAGCTCTTGAATATTCATCTTACAGAACTGCATTGCTCTTAGAGGTACTTACTTTTCTTCATCTCTGTAGTTAATTAGTAATGAAGAATTATATTGTATGTCTAGGTTAAGACCATCACTTGTGCCTTCAAATGCCAGTTTTAAAAAGGAAACTGAACGGTAAGTAGTTATCCATGTTTACAAGCTAAGGACTAACTTCACAGTAAGCATTGTTAACAATTAGTGTGGAAATACGCAAAAGTTACGTTTCCTAGATCAGATCAGAGAGCAACATTTGCTTGCTCAATTTGAGGGAACGGTTAGCCAGCAGAGATGGGATTTTTCCCTCTTCTGTTGGAACCCTTACAGAAAACCAGTACTTTTATCCCAGATGCTTCTCGGATTTAGTTTTGACCCAGAAATGCCAAACAGCAGATGAAGCAGATAATCCTGGAGTAAGTAATCTGGTACTATTAAAAAAAATTGTGAATACCAGATCAAGGTTCCTGCTGTTTGCTTTATGACACTGACACAGATTCTAGTTTCAGATTACCAAAGTAGTGCTCGAGGTGTCATGCTGAGACAAGAGGTTTTTTGCACAAATGCCTCTAAATACACTTTGTGTCACAACAATTTTTGTTGTGTCAGTCATGTTTCCTGAAATGGTTATCTTTAAACATTTTCTACAGACGAGCAGCCTTTCAAGGCCATGCAGTCTCATCATAAAGGTATCAGTAAAACTAGCCCTGTACTTCATTTTAAAATTGCATGCTGAACTTGCTTGGAAAAAACAAAACCAAAAAACTTTGCTTGTACTCAGAATATTGCTCAGTAGCCATTTAAAAGCCATTCACTAGCCATTTAAAAGATAGTCCAGACCAAAGTTTAGTTTAACTGCAAAGTTAATACAAATGACCTAGCAGAAATAACCTCTTACAAACTGCACAATCGTACTGTAAACTACTTTTGCTCAAAGTGTAATTAAAAAACCAGAACTTAAAGTGAATCATAAAGCTTCTGCAACTCAAACATGAATTAAATTTTTAAAGAAAAAAACAATTCAGTAACAATTCAAGTGGCTCAGAAGAGATGTGTTTTAATACATAACTTTCCGGCCCTCTATCAGTGTTGCCCTTAATCAGAAAAGACAAATCAGCAGCTGGAGACAGTCCTCCTAAAGAACCACCACACTTAAAAGTAGTAAATGTTGGAGCTTCTCCCTGTGCTTTCAGTAACAGCATCTGCCAGCTGCAACTGAGGACAGGAGGTACATGGAAATGGGGCTGTGACTCAGAAGGATGTGTCTCAAATCCTAGAAACACATGGAGATGGAAAAGGCTAAATGTCTACTCCCCACAGTTAAGAAAAGTAGTGGTTAAAACTAATTTCAGTCACAAAAGAAACAATTATTTAATGTTGTACAGATATGAACTGTAAGATCACTGATAACAAAATTATTTAGTTATCTCATTTAATTTTGGCTACTTCATTTAACCTGAATCAAGGTTTTCCCTTCAAGTTAAATACATTTGGAAAAAAAATATTACTGTTGCAATTAATACTGAAAGTTATCTACTTATTATGCAGTGTGCAATATCCAGTTTGTGCTGCGAAATTAATTTAGCTGTATGTTTGTAACTCCAGTACTAGTACTGCTGCTCTCTGCCTGGATATAGCACAATTGTATTTGTTTCCAGCAGGTGCTCCAGGAGGCATTTCCTGCCACTATACACTTGATTATTTTAAAACAATGGTAGGAACCGAACTTGTATGGTCTTCGGCCCCATTCCTGAAACACTCGCTGTAAGAATACAGAAGGCTTTTTCTGAATTCTAAGTACTTTGAGGTATAATGTATTAGCTCTTAAATCCCTTCTGTAAGAAAGGAGAAGCTACGCTCATCATAATTCCTAGTGGGTTTTTGTAGATACACATTTTTAGCAGGGAAAAAAAAGCACCCTAAACAGCTTTAGCAACAGTTTTTAACAGCTTATGCTTTAAACGGCAAGAGAAGAGCCATATTTAACATTACCACTCAGTTTACAAGACAGCATATGTTAGGCCAAAGAGGAAGAGAATCCTCTTGGTATTAAGGGATTTTTTTCCGTGCAATCAGTTTAACTTTTTAAATATATTTTAGTTTTTCTGTTGCCATACAAAAAACTATCTGAAAACTTTACCAGAACTGCACAAGTAAACCACAGGGCACATTCATTCTAACTGTGCTGTAATAAGTAAAACCATCGCTAAATAAATAGCTGGATTGCTACCAAAGAGTGCACCTTTAGTTGACTTTATTGAGAAGTAGCAGAATCCTCATCAGCCCCAGAAAGGTGCATGAAAAGTTCTCCAAGTTCTGTTACTTGATCATCTGTGCTGGTCACAGTCCTACTTTCTCTGTCTTCAATAAAGTCCCACAGACGAACAGAATTGAAGAACTGCAATGGAAAAAAAAATAAATCTTATTTAGCTTGACATACTTCAGTTAAAGTGTTTTCCTTTATGGGTCCTCCATCCTCCTTAAAAACAAAAAAAGGCTGAACTTGATACTTAAAACAGCAATATTTGCTGTTAATTTAAGTGACAACTGGTCTCTTTAGTGTTACCGTATAAATAATAGTTTGTCAGACAGGGCAGCATTAATGAGCTGTATCTAATATCTCAATACTATTAAAATAATTAGGCCTGCCTTGACCATTCAGGATGGCAGCCAAGGCACGATGAGTTTCTGAGAAGTCTTTAACCATCTTAGCTGGTCTCAATGATAGCTACATGCAGGCAAGTGAGAGTAGCTTTTAATTGTGCTATAGGTGAAAGCTCTACCTGGTTTGTTTCTTTGTAGAGAGGTCTGCAATGAGAAGCACTGGTTAAAAAAGATAATTTTTTGTTATTGAATGAAAGGTGCCCTCTCTCCCCAACAACAAACTCTTCAAACTTCTCCCTCACGGAAAGTTGGGGGATGTTTTCTTCTCTTAAGGCCATGCATTACACGGACCACATTTAAGTGGTACCCTTCACATTCAAAAAGTGTTTTCAATTACAACTGACTGGAATATTCCCTTACCCGCACGGTCCCCTCAGAGCTGAGCTGTTTCCTTGGTTTTTCAGGTTCAGCTCGTGTCCCATCTGGATAGGCATGAAGGTAAAGACACTTTCCTCCAAATGGACAAGTTCCTTTCCCTTGTTCAAAGTACTTGCAGGGTTTTTTTCTGATTCAATTAGAAGAGAGAGTTATTAACTTCAGTGAGTTTGGAAGCAGATACAGTTAATTTTCCATGGTTTATTTATCTCATCGTATTCCATGATGCAGAGTACTACTGTTAAAAACAAAACCAAGAGTACTACTGTTAAGACCAAAACTCTTGGTATGTTAACTGGCAACAGTTAAATAGATGGGAAAGAAAACTAAAGGTGAACAAAGAAATACATAAAAGAGCAGCATCATAAGTTAAAAAATAATAGTAAGAAAAAAATCTTAAGACACTAAAAGTGAAGGATGTCCAAAGAATGCCCTCTGTCCTGCACAGATATGTTCTCATTCCCATGAACGTAATCTATCGCTTTCTACCACTTAGTTTTTATGAACCAGTTCCTCGCATCATCTCCTTTGGAAGTTCTGTGACAACACTGTATTAATTTAAGTTTCCATCAGCTTTGTTGTTCAACTAAATTATTCTAGTGACATAGCTTTTTTTTTTTTTTTTTTATAAAGGCAATACTAGGGATGTAGTAATGCCTTCATAAAAAGAACATTGTGTTGTTCTACCGTGAAAAATAGCTGAAGGTGAAGCTACAGAGAAATTGCAACTGAACTTATATGCAAACTTAATATGCAAATAGTGATGAAACTGAGCCCTAAGTCATAAACACAGCTTCCCAAATAGCAACTGAAGGGAGAAGAAAGCTCAACAATAACAAGAAACAAACACCACCACAAAAAAAAAAAAAAAAGAAAAAAGCAGGCAGTGCATTAAAAATGGAATTTGTCTTGGGTTAGAACACAAGTGATCTGTGACTTCCAGTTTTCTAAGTTTGGCTTGTTTTTTTCTGTGCTGGCATATGAATCAGAAAGGGTTTGTGCTGGGACGACCCCCTGCTCTGAGCTCAGACTCCCCTTCAGTGAACATTTTATTAGCATTTTCTCATTGTGTGTAATATTACATCCTCAAAGCTAAACCGACTGCCAAGGCAGGTACTTGTAAGACTACTTTGGTACAGAGATGCTTAGGTACAACACATTAGTCTTAGCCAAACACTTAAAGCAAAAACCATTTTTGTATTCTCAAAATACAAAAGCAAAAGCCAAAACCAAAACCCAGCTCGTAACACTACCTGATGGCGCTATTCCAATAAAACAAAAGCTTGCCTTACTTAGAACGTGCAGTCATTTAAAAACTGCCTATGCCAAGATATTGAGCACAACTTACTACGCTCAGCACAAAGTCCTTCAGGATTAAAGTGAAAAACCACACCAGCAATAGGGTATTGAAAATTTAACAGTATCAAGAACCTCAGTGTAAAGTGATTAATTTTATTCAAGTATTTTGCCTGACTGTAAGGTAAAACAAGAAGCTGGATTAAAGATGGATTAAAGATTTAATGGAGTAGTACAGCTTTCAGCAATTGTGCTGAAAAGTTATAACAATACTTCAAAGGCAAATCTTCCCAAACAGCTACAGCTTTAAGTCAAACCTATTTTTTTCTGCAATCCAAAGGGCAAATTTTAAAAGTCGGTGCATATCACAAAATAAAGCTGCACAACCTTTAGCAAAATAGTCATGACTCATTTGGGTCAAGCATAAATCTACTTGTTTCCCTTTAAAAGAGTGAGCAATGAGATAAGTTAATGGTTCCTTATTGTTCCCTGAACTAAGTGACCTGTACATACTCCAGGCAAGCACAGCTTTGCAAAGCTGCTGTAAAACAACACTTTAGCAGACCTCTCCCAGTGCTCCAATCACCAGGCAAATCTTTATTAGACAATAAAGGGAATGGAGTGATGTATTTTCCATTTCCAGTAGCCATTACAAAAGACTTGTGAAATTTTAAGCCCATATATCAAGATACTATCACAAAAATCAAGCTTTCCTTCCTTATTTGTTTTCTCCATAACTGACAGCCTTCCAGGCAATTACATCCAAAGGATCAGCAGAAACTGTGCAGGTCCAGTTTTGGCAAGTGAAAGGACAAAGCCTCAACCCTTCAGAGCACAATGAGTTTGAGCAACTTCTGATCTACAAATACAACAGACCCTTTCACAACAGCTGAAAAGTTAAGCTAAATAAAAACAGTGTGCCGTTAACAGAGATTAAGAGTTTTTTACTGAATGGTTTGTAATCACCTAAGTATCAAAATACAGGGATTTTAACTGAGTAAGTCTTAGTGTATCTTAAAGACAATATAAGTAATATCTACGGTTAATGAACTTACCCCACTCCCTGCTTAAATGCTTCAATCAGCTCATTCTTCTTCTCCTGGTCTTCTACCCAGTATGCACTAGGGATGACAAACTCTGATATCACACGGCACTCTGGACAAGACCTTAATGGATCAAGACAAGGAAGGAATGCTTTGTTACTTTCTGAAAGCAATACTTAATAAATTAGCCCGAAACTGCAGGCTCCTGAGTGAAAGGGCGACAGTTTGTCACACGGATGCATCAGACAGCTTCACGGGTTAGTACAGCACATTTCTTACTTGTTTCAACTGAAATAATCCAAAATGGCACAGTCAGGCTTGTGCTGCCTTGCATTTGTTTCAAAACTTGAACAAAAGCAATAGATATTTCCTGAATAAACATAGCTAAAGGCCCAATACACAGAAATAAACTAACTGCTAAGGAAACGCTGTGGCTCCCATACAGCAGAAAGCCAAACCAGACGAATAAAGGAAAAGGATTGTCCCTAAGCCTTTTGAAATACCATCTGAAATCTACAGCACTGATGAGTTCATTTAGTGGTTTCACGAGATGGATTTATTCATTAGGAACTAAGATCAAGAATTAAATAAGCAACTTCTGGTACCCCAACAAGCCTAGGAAAACCTTTATTACCTGGTACCTCCCTGTAAGTCCCATAAAAACACCTCGTGTCTCTGCAGGCATTGCTTTTGAAACTTATCCAAGTCCGTCATTTAGAGTAACTATACAAAAACTGGTATGTTCACTGTTGTGAATAATGTAAAAAACATTTTTAGAAAATTTATATCAGTACCTAATCACACCCAAACCTGATTCCAGAGCACTGTTTCTGCAAAAAAGCCACAGTCCCTGTTGTAACCAGAATAGCTCATTAGACAGGTACAGAGACAACTTTCACTTCAATGGAATTCATAATGAAAGTTGCCCAGGAAGGTCTACTTTGGCAGCGGACTGAAAATATTTCCCTCCTCTTGCTCAGTGTGCTTATATCTCGAAAGAGTTTTCAAAGAGATTCTAAGAAAAGGAAATTGCCCTAATTGGATGTTTAAAATTCTTTCATCTAAGGAAGAATCTGTTTAGATTATGTTTTTTACATAGTTAGAAGATGAAGGCGTTTACTCAGACACAGATGTGTGATTAACGGAAGGTTTAGCTTGAGTAAGCTATATTTGAGAGAAGAATGCAGTAATTAAGCACATACATAGGAAGGAGTTACTGTTTTGCAAGCAGGTTCCTGTGAAGGAAGCAGGGGCAGAAGTCAACTCAGCTATTCTGCAGCTGAATGTTTGCACTTTGCCACATTGTCAGTGCAGTGAGAGAGGGTTAAGTTAAAAATGGCCAACATGCTTAGTTGCAGTAAACTTACCAAAACTTAAACTTAGTTGCAAGTAAACTTACCTGATGCCTCCTACCTGTACGTGGAGGTTGATCTTCTCATCTCACAGACATACTCTGATGCCTTGCACTTTTCCCAGCACTCGGACCAGGATTTTCTGAGCTTAGATCTTATTAATGGCTAGGCTAACATTTAGTGTGCTAAGGAATGACCACATTTATTTCCAAATCAAGTCAAAGCACACCGCAGAGCCCATCTCACTGACACAGGCCACAGTCTAGTTAACACAAACTTACTTAATGATGGGATTCTCGAACTGCTTGGCACATCTCCACTGCCGGATGCAGGACAAACAGTACGTGTGATTGCAGTTGGAAAGGATCCCAAACCTCCTCTCAGAGGCTGACGGTTTTTCATATACCACTTCCATGCAGATACTGCACACTTTGTCCTGACTTGCCTGAAAAGCAAAGGCCTTCTCCATGTCGTGCTCGAATGTTGCCATGCACATCTGTCACAGGAGAGATGTCAGTGGTTATTGTAGTCATAGAGCAGCCTGTTCCTTGTAAAACAGAAGTGTCAATGACAGGGATCTGACAGGGAAAACAAGGTACACTGATTAAGAGCATCATTGCTACCCTTCGTAATCACTGTTTATTTTTAATTACTTCAAGGGCGATCACACAATTCAGCCCTCTGATGTTCTCTGCAGCTTCAGAAGCATCAGAAGTAAGGCTGCCTGAACACTCGCAATGTACACCTGTCTGCATCTGTCATGGAACAGCTACCACACAAGGAAATGCTTCAAATACTCCTAATCATTTAATTCAGGGTCCAGAATGGATACCACACTCAAGATGTTATCCTGTTTGTTATTAAAGCCACCCTCTTCATTCAGCAGGTACTAAGCTTTACCCTAGATAAGGGATTAGTCCCTTATTACGGGCTTTCCTAGAGCATCTCATCAGGGTATCCCAGTACTGACCATCAACCGATTTACTTTTACAGCAGCTACAGGGTGAGCTGCTGCTTGTGCCCGCATGTGGGATGAGAACTCCCACAGCAGCACGTTTTGCCAGCATCTGCTGGGAGCACAAGAACTGAGACTCTGGCCCCTGAGATTCCACTCCAGGCTGTGGAGGGGCCATGACTCAGTAACCACTAAAGCTTCTGGTCTTTCCCCTCCTCAGCCTAGAAATGTAAACTGTTCCTCACCTGCTCTGACCTAAATCTGGGGACAGGGAAGAGCAGCCTCTTAAGGCCTTCCTAACCTAGCCAAGGCCTCATCCAGTCCCCTCGTACTTCCTACTTAAAGTTCATCTACAAAATCTTTGTACTCTGTTCAGTCTGCCCCTGTTTTACAATGCCCTGAAATCCGCCCTGAACAAGCTGGGATATTTGAAGAGGCGACTCAGCAGACCAGCAGGGTGGTTGCTCTAAGACAGCAGCCTACCACTGAGACCTCTTGTAAGCTCCAAAAGACATTTTCCTGGTAGAGTTTTAGGGTGTTGTGGTCTCCCAGAACTGCAGGCAAGTTTCTCATAAGGAGGAAAAGGGGAAAAAAGAAGTTGCTGTATAAAGCTACTTGCACCGCAGTTACGAATTAAGTCCTAGATACTTAAACAGACCTCTGTTAGAATCACTGTACAGCCAGAAAAGCAGCACAACAGAAGCCCTTTGGAACAACAGGCTATTCTACATAAAACACCTTTGGATTTTAGATCAAACAAATCCAATCTTGCAGCAAACAAACCAAATCCAACAGCAATTTCATGTTACTATTACCATCTCGTGAGCCTTCCTCTGTTCTTGGTCAAAAGGGTGAAGTACTTGCAATCCACAGATCTCACACACGTCTCCGTGCAGGTAAAGGCAGCGATCTCCAAAGTGGCATGCTCCTGCTGCAGCGTAAGGACACCACTGCTCTCCATCAGCACAGGAACTTCCAGCCACAGGATCTTCCAGTCCACTGCAAATAGCTTCCAGATACGAATGGGGCTTCATTTCCACGTTATCAGTTTTGTCACTGCAACACACCACATCACTTGTGGCACTGGGCTTCTGCTTTTCTTCATTCAAGCCACTCAGATCTTATGAAAAAGAAACATAGTATGAACGATACAGGATAATGCACAAAACCTACTCAAGAAGCTTCCTGTACTTTCTTTTCAAGGAATAGTAGGTTTGTTTGTTTTTTTGTTGTTTGTTTTTTTGTTTTTAAATTCCTTCACAATTACATCTTCTCATCCTTAAGCCTATTTTGGTCCCAAACTGCAAGAATTTTCACAAACTACTTACTGAAAAGACGAATTTCAAGGTCTCTTGAGCTGTCTTCTATTTACAAACAGGATAAAAAATCCTCCCATTTCACATCAGGGCAACTGGCTTGTTTGGTGCGACTGTGATAAGGGGTAGGAACAGCGTGCTGGCAACGGGGGGACTCAGCTCCTGTCCCTGGGTGTGAGGCATGGAGGGACACCTCTGGGGCTTGTGTTCCTAGGCACTGGCACAATCCTCCACAGAGTGGTGCCCTGGCACAACGCAGCCAGGCTTCTCACCATTTCAAATGCCCTCTCATTGAGAACAAAATGCACAAAAGGAGTGGGGATATTTTAACAATATTCCCAACCTATCTACCAAAAAATCCACCGCAGACCTAAAACCCCTTTCAGGGAACACCGGGTTACAAGCAGGTCAGCTAAATGCTGTCACTGGAAGGTACTGACAGGCACAAGTGTTTACACAAAAGGGGACTCATGAGTTAGGAAGGCCTACAGCACCCCTCTCCAGCTGAAATTCAAGTAACAAAAACAGGTGAAGAAATACCCAGCTCCCATAAAGATCAGAGGATGACATCATTGAAGACGAGCACAGAACCAGCCCTACTCACTTCTGTCCCGGAGCACTAGTGTTTTCTTTTCCCGTTTGCCAGTCTCACGCAGCTTGCTCTTGATTACTGGTGCGTTGTGCTCGGGAGGCTGGCGAGGGCTGTGCAGCGCTCCCGACGTGAGGGGAGGTGGCACAGGAGCTGCTGCACCCCCTGACGCAGGAAGCCTGGTGTGATCATATCTACAAGAGAAACAGACAAAATAACTGGTACGAAAGTTAAACCGAGGCACAGCACAGGGACAGCTCCCTGGATGCATTTCCCTGTCCTTTTTGTTACAAAGTAAAGCTGAATAGCTCCTTTAGCTACCTTTTTAAAAAATAATAATAAAAATAAAGGGTTGTTTTAACAAGTTGACTGAAATGTTGAGTCTCTTTCAAGGCCAGACTAGAAGTTTCTCAGACTCAGAAAACAGATGCCTCTGAACGCACACCTAGATTTTCTTCTCTAGAGACACCAAGCATAGCTGAAAGAACATTATTCATGTGCATATTAAATCAGATCTTCGTCATCTCCCCACACAAACAGGTTTGCTGACATTTCTCAGAGAAGCAAAATTAAAAGATGTGCAGTAAGGACTGACATTTTTTGATCTTGTTTTCCCCTTCCAAGCAGCAACACTTAAGACTTCATGCTGCCACAGCACAGGGCAGGAAGGAGATGTGGTGTTTGTGTGCAGGATAGGGAAGGATTCAAGACACCTGGTGAAATAATGGAAACATGCTCAGCAGTAGAACAGGAGCAACTGGTGAAGCTAAGCCACAGGCACACCTGAATGCTAGAGTACTACTGGTGAGAACAGAAATATTCTCCACATTTGTTTCTGGCCCTGTACTTAGCGCCCAGTTTTGCCATACACGTCAGTAGGTTACGTGCATGGCGTGCCCTCAGCTGTCCCCAAACAGCTGGAGCAGAGCAGCACAGGCTTGCAGGTGTCCTTGCGCTCCTCGCAGTGTGCCAGGTGCTCCCAGCGAGCAGCACAGCCAGCAGCAGCGTTACAAACGGCCAGCTCCATCTGAGCAGCTTATGGGAGTCAGGCAGCTCACTAAGGTTTAGCTTTCTGCTCCACGCCTGATACCAGTTAACAATGCCAAAGAAAGGATCGCAACAAAGCTATTACAAACACAGTAACACCCTGAAACCTCCAGCTCCTGTCAGGCGAAGGTGCAAACACACATTTCTTATCTGTGGCCAGAATTTGGCTGTGAAGGACCCCGGGCTGGCGGGACACAACAACATTCACCACCACACAGCACTTACTGGAGGTCTCAAGGAGCCTCAACCAGAAGGCTGCAAGAAGGGGTGCAAAGCTGTTCACTTTTCCCACAAAACCTAGGGGAACGTGAAAAAAATGCACTTTGCTCTAAGACAGCGCTGAAAGTCCTCAAGATTCGTTATTAGGATCTGCAGGAGCACGGCTGTGAGCTCCACAACACAACCCAGCACAGCGCTGCCGAAACGAGGCCCCTCACCCACCGCGGTAACACGGGAAGCAGAGCACTGCCTGCTGCCATTCCTCGTCAAGCTGCACACCTGAACTTCTGGGTTTTGTATTTAGCAGTTCTCACAGTAATTAAGAATGGAGTGAGAACATACGGGAAACCTGGAGCTGAGTTTCTACAGGACAGGATCATCCCTGAAGCTAGGACACTGTCAAACTACAACACTGCATTCGCTGAGCCGGTTTTAGCAGTGTGGGACAGGGCTCATCATCGCTTAACACCGCATTTCATCCCTTTTGCTGTTCAGAAAGCCCCGGCTCTTCCTGATCCTCGGCTCCCCGGGGTTTCAGGCCCAGGGCACACGCTGCCCCCCCCGGTCCCTCGGAGCGCAGGAGGCCGGCCCGTTACCTGCAGCGCGCTCCGTAGGCACACTGTCCCTTCTGGTAGTACTTGCAGATGGTGGATGACTTGCTGGTGGCCAGGTCGTGCGAGAACAGGCACTTGCTCCCCTCCCGGCACACTCCTTGCAGGTAGTACCTGTGGGGAAGCAGCGCAGCGCTCAGGAACCCATTTTGTGGGGACGAGCCCGGCGCCGGCCGTCGCCTTCCCCCGGGGGGCGTCCCCCCGGCCCCTGCCCGAGCCCTCCTCCGGCGCCGAGCCCCGGTCGGGCAGGGGCTGCCCCCGGCCCCGCGGCTCACCTGCAGGTCACCTGCTTGGTGCTCATCGCCGCCGCCTCCCCGGTTCCGCTGGGCCGCGGGGGAAGAGGCGGGGCCGGGGCCGCCTCCCCGGCCGGGCCGGGCCGGGCCGCGAGCGCCGCTCAGCGGGAGGGCGGCGGCGGCGGCGGCGCCATGGAGGCGGCCCCCGAGCCGGGCCCCGTGCTGCGGCTGCGGCACTGCGGCGCCGCCATCTTCTGCCGCCGGCCGCCGCCGCTCTGCCCTGCCTGCGGCCGCCCCCTGCTCGGAGCCGGCCTGGCCGCGGCCCCCGTGCGCCTCCCTTGCCCCTTCCGACACGGGCACCGCCAGCGCCGGGCGCTCCTCCTGCGGCCCGCAGCCGGCTCCTTCCTCGGGTAGGGGCCGCGGGGGGTCTGCGCTTCAGAGGGAGGGCGCCTGTGAGGGGACGGCCCCGCTCAGCCCCTGGCGGTGTTTGTCTTTCAGGGGGTACGACGGCAGAGCCGACCTGCACGTGGGGATAACCAACGGCGACGGTAAAATGTGGCTGGGAGCTGCCATGTGGGGCCCCCGACCCGAGCCTCTGTGCCCTCTGCACCCCTCCGCCTGAGGTAACGGGGGTGCTGCAGCCACCTCTGCCGCCGTGACTGCTGGTAGGAGGGCGGCTGCAGCACGCACACGGCTGGTGCCTTGCTGGGGAACAGTGCAAAGGTTCCCTGTGCACACCACAGGAATTGGAAGTGGGATTAGCTGGGGGCTGCAGGAGTATCACACCAAGATCAAAAAAACCCATCTAACCATTTATCCTGCCGCCCAGCAGTGACAGAGATTCAAGCCGAAGGCACCTACCAGCCCCAGTCCCACCTAAATGCTGAGGAGGTGCAGAGGGAGGGACAGGTGACTTGCACTCCTGGCACGGAAATACAAAGCTAGGCAGCCTATTAAAAAAAGTTCACCCAAACAAGAACATTTTCAGGAAATCTTGACTTAGAAAGAACTATGTTTAAGCCAAAAATCATGCCTAATAAAAAAAGAGCCACATTAACAGCCGTGACAGGTTCTCAGAGTGGCTCATTGTTCAGTATCTCACTTGAGATGTTTATTTAATAGAAAACTAGTCTAATCAGGAGGTTTCAAAAAAGAAACATGTCTGTCCTTAGGTTGTTTTCCTTATCAAAACTCCAAAATAACATTGTGAAAAATAAGAAAGTTGTTCAATAAAAGTAAACATTGCATTTTCTACTCTAGCCATAGAAGGCCACTGATGGGAAGCTATGATCTTAACTAGTTAAGAAAGAATGGCATTAAGGAAAATTACTTTTCAAAATCATGGAAAAGTACGTGTGAAACCATTTTCTCCAGTGCTATCTGTTGCTCTTTGTTTTCAGGAGTGGTATATAACTACGATGAGGAGGGCATTCACAGAGATGAAACTGGATGGGAACAGTGCATTAGTGTCCCACTAGTACAGCCAGATATGTTTGAGCTTCTTCAGCAGTGGGATAAGCTCCTAGAGGAATTTTCTGTGGGAGAGGCCTGGCTTCCTCACAGGTAGGTTGTTTAAAAGCTGAATGTAATAAAGATACTTAGCCTGGGATGATAAATTAAGCTATTCTATTTTGGACCTATGAGGCTTATGGTGCATTCAGTTCCTTCACAACACACATTGCTAACAAACTCAGCTCTTCCAGGTTGTCTTGACGCTCGGTGGCCTTGCTAACCTGCAAGTGTTTTTAAGTAGCTGGACTATAAAAGTGCTAAAATAAGAGAACATTTTAGGGGACTTTTCAGCAACAAAATAATCTTGCACAAAAAGGAACACTTCACTGGAACATTACCTTTGAAGAGTATCCCGCTGGGTACAGAAGTACAAAAATTCAGGTGCAATTCTATAATAATTTCTAGGGTTCAACAGTTTTAGAGGTATTTAGATTTAAAGGCTGAAATCATGACTACACTGATGAGATTCTTGCCCAGATCTTACCTCCAGATAACTTGCTGACAGTGGTCAGAAATTGGAAAAATAATGAGGCTTTTCTTGCTCTTCCAGCAGGTTGGTAACATTGCTTTGGATAGTTACGTACAGAAAGACTCCCATAGATTTTGAACTGAACCAGCATGTTCCATCCAGAATGTTCAGTTCTCTTTGCAACTTTCCTTCAAGTTAATGCCTGATGACAGTGTTACAAGTTATGCAGCCCAGCAAAAACATTCAGTGCCACATCACCAAGCCTATTGGTGACAAAGCAGCTGCTGTCCCAGAAATCACCAGTCCTTGAACTGCTCATTGATAATGGTACATTTAATAAGCAGCCTGTCAGAGCAGAGTTCTGTGAAGTGTTTAAGTTAATGGAAGTAGACGTCATCTTACGTAAAAACAACAACAAATCAAAAGCAGTTTTTAGCAATTCTGTTATGTGTTTGACTATAAATTTTCAGAGATAATGTATTATCTCCCTAATATCAGGAGATGAAAGAATTTGACCTAGAATAATTTTAAGAAATACCTCCAGAACACAAATCCTATTGGCTTTACAATCATCTTTGACACTTCTACATTTCCCAGTGCTTTAATGTTATTACTGAAGTTAACTTGATGTCAAAAAAGCAGTGGCAGAAGGTGGGTAGATGCATGCATCTCTTCCACAAGCTTTTCTTCTGTTTTCCCCATGTGCCACCTCCTGGCAAAGTGACCTAATTCAGCACTGAGCTGAAGTGAATCCAGCATTTTTGCTATGTAATTTTCCATTGTTTTGCACTGCAGTGATGGTCCCTCTCAAAATTCCTCCTACTTTTTTTTTTTTGGTGACAACTATTTTGGTAAAGAGCACTGTAGCAAATTCTTGCTTACTGCAAGGGATCTCATATGTCACTTTTAATAAATACCTTTAACAAACCAGAAGAGCTTTGGAGAAAACAGTGAGCAATCCTGAACTGGGCTCAGGGTTGATTTTGATAGCAATAGTCCTCAGAACTTGCAAGAAGATCTCATAAATTCCCAGGGCTGACATGCAAGGCTTGCAGATGATTCCCTGTGGCAACACAAACCATGGAGCCACTGACAGTATGAGACTAGGAGTGAGTCACAGGGCTAGGAAGAGCAATAGAGAAGTGACACGGGATGAAGCAGTTTGAAGAAGCTTGAAGAAGTAGGCAGATGGCAGACAGGAGACTGACCATCAAATGCAGTTACACAGGGCCAACAGAAAAAGCAGCACTATGCAGCGAGGGAAAGGAGTAAGTTACTCAAATTGTTAGTGGCCAACATGAAACATTTGGCAGAATCTGAAAAACATTCTGACAGTGAAAAATAAAGGTGTTGTGCTCCTAGCTTTGGATAGTGGAAAAAAAAAAAAAAAAAAAAAGACCAGGACATTTTAAATGGCTACTCCATTCAGGTAGTATTTCTGTCCGTGCACACTTGGTACAAATGCTTGCCAATGGGAGTTTGACTGGCACTCTGTACAGCAAAGCAACAGTATCAATTATATATCAGTGATAGAGTCTGCTTGATTTTAAAGCAAGCTTCCAAGTTAATGGCACACTGAAAGAAGCATATATAATGGCGCAGGATGTTACTGCTGCAGGAAGAACTTTTCAAGGTAACAGAGTAAGAACACAGGAGAAAGCAAAGATTAACAAGGTAAAAACAAAGTTAAGTATTAAAAATAAGAACTCCTTATTTTGAAATCTGCAGCTTTTGTTTTTGGTTTCATGCTTACAATTTCTAGTATCCCTGTCTGGAAAGCACAACTTGCTATTAATAGAATATATTTAAGCACCAGCAATGAAAGCAAATGGCAACAGATCTTGGAGAATGTGTGCTTCTTTATGTCACTCACTAAAATGTTCCTTCATGCACAGTGATTAAACAATTAGTACTAACTCTTATTAATGAGATATTTTTCCTAGGTATGAAGAACATGACTACAATTGCTACACGTACGCACTAGCATTCATTAACAGTATACTGACTGCACAAGGAAAGCAGCAAATGAGTAAAAGTGAATTTACAGAGAAATTTGTGATCCCACAGACAAAGAATGCTTCTAAATATATTACCCTGCATCAGGAGCTAACTACTAAAGATTTCTACATTGTACCCCTTCCTGATCAAGAAAACCAGGGTGGAAATTGACAAGTTGTGATGTTAAAACACCTATGCAAAATATAAAGACACCCTAAAGCAAAATACAACATGAAAATAAAGCCTTAAGACTCCAAATCTCAGGGTTTAAGATATATGAACTGCTTGATGTATTTAAAAATACAACTTCATGTATGTTAACCTGCATATTACGGAAGGATCGTGAAACTAAATTTGTGTATTTTGAATGAAATAACATGCACATGATGTACATGCTGCAGAAAATTTCTATGGAAACTGGGAACTATGGAAATTTTTTTTTTTTTTTACATTCACTATACACTGTGTTCTGCCAAGAGCCTTAATATCAGAAATCATAACTGCTGGGTAATCAAGGGTTTTAACAAGCGAACTGTCGTAACTTAAGCTGTATCAAACCAAACTATCACTTTCCCTATCTGTTTACAGATAGGCAGAAAAGGAATTTGTGCTTGCCTGCTGCTCAAGTCTAAAGTCTGTGACAATGCAAAGTCATTTTCCTTTACTTCAACTGCTAATAAATATAACAAGTAAATCCAGCCTCTTTGTCTGACATATTTCTTTTCCAATTCTTCTTTGCATTTTGTACACTTAATCCTCACACTAAGACAAATGCTTAGAATTAGAAGCTACTCCTGTAGTGTCATATCTGTGCTGAGCAACAAACTCAGCATTTATCTCAGAGGTAAAACTTGAGAATTTACCAAAAAGAAACTTAAGTTTAAAGAGATCCTCCAACAGCACTTCTACCTATTGTAGATTATAGAAAAACGTATACTGAGGATGAAATTCTACTGTTCATAATTTGGCACACTTTATTTACACATATTCTAGTTTAAGACAAGTATTCTGTCTTTTTCCTTCTACTAGTTTCTTCAAAATAAGGTAGGACACAAATCTAGACCCGAACTATCTGTTCGATGATGGAGAAGTAATCATAAAAGATTGTGGTTTTGCCCATATCTAGTTTATAATTTTGTATGCACAAACTGCATTAACCCTGCCCCTCCACAACACTGTCTAGCTGCAAAGACCACGGTTTCCCACCCCCACATTCTTTCACTTCTTGCTAAATTCTAGTTCCTTTAAAAGCATATTCAAAACAACAACAAAATAGAGACAACCAGTTTAACACACAAAATTCTGCTACTGTTAGAGATTTATCCCGCAACCTCTAGAGCAAGTCAGAATTCTTCAACTAAGATTTGGCTTACAAAAAGAAATTACATTATGTTATTTCCGAGTAAGTCAGAATCCATACTTCATTTAAGAACTGTATTTTAACGGTTAAAATATAAATACATGGGAAGTATCAGTGCCCTGGTAGAACAATCTGAGTTATTTGGTACAGTAGTACTGAAACATGAACCGTAGTTATCTGCAGCTGGAAATAAGACACCATGCCACATACAGCGAACACATACATAGATGTTGAGCTTGAAAAAGCTATTACACAATTAACATTTTCATTTTATGTCTTTCCATTAAATGAAAAACACTAGATCTTCCACTAAGTTGCATATCATTCCCTGCATTCATGGCATGTCTTTACAATTTAAACTCCTCAGTAAACAAAATTGTGGTTTTGTGTTTGGTGGGAACAGAGTTGACAGAAGTCTTACCAGCCCTGGGAATTTTACTGAGACCAGAAGTAACCCCCTTTCTTATAGTGAACAAAAGCAGCACAAGGAAAATTCAAAGCCACCATCATTGTCAATAACTGTAATATATCCTTACCATAGCAGCAAATGTTTTCTCTCACAGCACAGGGAAAAAAAAATGTTTCACAGTGCTGTGAAGCAGGGAAGCCTACTGTTCAGGGACTAAGATGGAGTTCAAATGCCTGCCTGAATCTATAGGAGCAATACTCAAACTCCAGTGTAGCTGATACTTAAACCACAACTGCTGGCTGTACTTGAAGGAGCTGAATCCTTTTGTTTCTTTTTCATTGTTTTTTTGATTTTTTTTTTTTAAATGCGTCTTCTCAGTAGCAGACACCCTGTTTAGGAACCTGCAAGTTAGAAACTAGCAGGCACCCAGTGTAGTATGGCAGAACTGCTCGGCAGTATCCTATGCCTCACTCCATAGGAGAAGCAGTCTCCCAGTCCATAGCTTACGAGGTTACCCAAATGAGGAAAGGCGTCCCTGCACTTCCTACTGCCTAACACCTAAAATTGCTGTTAGGTGCTTAGACTCCAGAATTAATTTAAATCCTTGCACGTTCTGGGAAGAATTCATCAATTCTGAGCACTGCTTGTGAAAATAAGCATTTTAGTTGGGACCACTGAATTCCAGGGTCTAGCCACCTAAGAGCCTGGACTGATCTTACATTCCAAAGACCTACAATGCTCAAATACTGCAACAACCAAATCTCTTCCAAAATCTAAGTTTGTACAACTTCATCAAGTCTATCATATCAGGTCAATATTCAGTGGAAGATGAATGGTACCATAGATATCTCAAATTCTAAGCCTCCAACTGAATCATTAAGCCAAGCCTTCCTCCCAGCAATATTAACATGGATTTAGTTCAACTGGGGGAAAAAATAATAATGTATTTCAAGGTTGAGGGGCATAGGGTTTGGTTTTTGTCACTGTGCATGCCTACTGTTCATTGTTGTGTTCTGATGTTGAGAGTGGGAAGAGAGAGAAAATATTCAGACAACAATCACTTGCCATCATCTTTTCAATGGCAAAAGAATTTTAAAGAGAACTTGTAAATAAATGCCAATTTAGAAAAAAAAGCACAGCAAAGGAAAAGAGCAACAGGCAAAAGCCAAATCAAAAGAAAAGCCAACAAAGGGCACCACATCTCCATAGCATTTAAAAGACTTGGATCATTTTAGGCCAGAGATTTTTACAGTCATGTAAGTATAGAAGACAAAGTGCTGCCTAGTTTAAAGACAGAAAGGTTATCTGACTCACTGTAATTACTGCTTTTTTTTTTTTTTTGAATTCCCTTTCAAGCTTAAGTTTTTTTTTTTCTTTCAAGCTTTTCTTTTTCTGAAGAAAATTATGTCCCTGTGTGAACCACAGAACTAAATGAGCCTTACAACTCCCCAGTTCAACTTTGAAGAATCTGTGAGGTATTATCAGAAAACTGTTTGATTCCTCATTACTTAGGCTTTCAGTCAGAGATCCATGTTTTGGACTTCAGTGGCTCTGCAAGCCATACTGCCTATTCAGCACTAATGCATGAATCTGTGAGAGTATTAAAAACATCATTACTAATCACTACAGTCTAGTCACTGTTCAAAATAATACATTTTGTAAACAATTTACAATTTATAAATTATAAGGAAACAGCATAGTAGTTTGACTTGGGACACAGCTTTAATTCCTCCCCCTTCATATGCATTATTATAGTCCAGTCATTATTTTTCAATACAACATTCTCTCCACTAAATAGGATATGCCTCAATTTTAGACAACTTTTATACATACCAACTGAATGTTGATAAAGACTGTTCTGAGGCAATGGTTCATTGTGAGATCAGGTTAAAAAATGGCAATGTATTAAAAAAATAAGTTCTTCTTATACATTCAGTTAAAGGTCATCTTGCTCACTACGCTCACGGGAAGACACCCAACGAGTTACAATAAGTTCCTGAAATAAAAAACAACAATACCTATTATGGAAATGAAAAGGGTAAAAAATGCTAAAATCAGTGAGAGATTGTGATTAAGCCTTAGCAGATTGACATATATTATATAACCACTGAAAACTTCAACAGATGACTATATTTGTTCCTGAAGTGAGCTCCTCTCATGCTTCTCTCCATTTTTAAACATCCATAAACATTAGTCTCCATAGTTATAATTTTCTCATGCAAATGCTTCACAGTAACAGTAACATACAGATTTAGACTGGAAGACCTAAAGTTTTTAAATGGCATCTCATACACTTCTCTTGCCTTGGGGCGCAAATGGATCTAGCTGTTTTATTGCAGCTATTCATGCAAGAACAAAGCATGCTAAAAAGCAAGCAGCAGTTCAAGGATGCTCTTATGATCGGTCATTAGCTGTCCAGCTGTCCCAGAGCAAAACTACACAGGCAAAGAAGAGAATTACTCACCTGAACCTTAATTCTTTTCAAACATTCTGGTGTGGACATCTCTTTTTCAGTCATATCAGATGGTCTAATGAAATAGCATAACATAAGTTCCTGTTGGTAAACAAAATACAAGATTTTCATCTGGTTTCTTTCTACACAAGTTTTAGACTAATTAGAAATGCAGATTCCATGTTTCCTACAAGACATCTTCTGCAAACCAAGAGCTGTACAATTTGGATATCTCATTTTCCTTATCAAAGCACAATAAGGTTATGAAACAAACTAGAATTGTAACACAACACCTGAGCAGCATGACTATGAGAATAAAGGCATTATGTATGAGGCTCTGTCACAGGAAAAGTCTTTGGGAAACTTTAAATTCTGCAGTTGAAAAGGAAACCTGATAGATGGATACGGGTTTAAAATTTGAATTGGTAACCAGGAAAGCGTCCCTCAGGTCTTTCTATTCTTCATTCAGCATTTACATGTAAGATTCCTACAGGGGACAGGACTTTAATAAGCTTTTTCCAGAAGTCACGTGGATACTGACAAATGAAACTCATTTGCCTACTAGCAACTCAGCATGTTTCTGCAGACTAGAAGGATTCACTTTCCGGCCTCACTCCTAGCTCTCTATTCTCTGGAACTGAATTGTGTATTTGTCATTTCAAAGTTATTTTAAAATGGGTAGCTTACACAATTACCTTAGAAGCATTAACAGTTGTTCTGTTCAAGCCAGACAAGGAATTCCAGGTGAATGGTCTGCGAAGAGAACCTTCAAAAGTGTCATCCACTAATTCAGCAATGACAGAGTAACTGGAAAACAAAGCAAATGGGACAATTCACAGAAAGAAAAATACTGTTTTAGGAAGATTGTGTATCTTAAGAATAGAGCCTAAAAATCCATGTTAAACAATATGGCAGCATGCAGTAAGTAAGCTCTGAAGCTTAAGTCTGTAATAAGCTAGAGGAGAAAAAATGAAATTGTGAATACACTGCCTGGCACTTTGCCTCCTTACCCTTCTGCCAGTACTTGGAGCTATTCTCTTATGAACATCAATCTGACACTTAACATCAATTTACTATTTAGGAGTTCAATTTGACTAGCTAAGGAATAAAGATATTAATCATCCCTTAAAAGTTGGGGGGGGGGGGGTGTATTTTTTTTTTTTTTTTGGAGGGTCAAATCTCCAACCAAATTACATGTAATTCATACCATATATTTTTAAAAGTTATTATTACTAAATTAAATTACATTCCTGAGTGCATTGAAACTTTTAATTTTAAACATCTTACTACTGTCACAAGAATTCGATAAAATTGTGTGACTTAGTACCTCTGCTAAATGAATACATCTGGCAAAGTATTTTGGGTGAAGAGTATGTCTTAAATCAGTTAAGATACTAAAATAGTGAGAGAAATTTTCTGGTTTAAAACAAAGTTCATAAAAAACATCAGCTTCAAACCTTGCATGATAGAAGGGTGGTCCTTTTCGATATAGCACTGAAAAGGGAGAGAAACATCTGAGTTAGATAATCAAAGTTTCCTTCTGAGTTTCATATCTGGGTCCATAAATATTTTCAGATGCTTCATAAATTTTAATTACACAAGACAAAATTTCAACACGTTTGAATTCAGAGTTAAGTTGTCCCAGAAAGCGAAGAGGGAGGGAAGAGAGACAAAAAACATGGGAGCAGCAGAGACAGGATAGTGGCAGGTAGAAAAAATAAATAAATAAATAAATAAATCACAGAGCCAAAAGACAGTTCGCAATTGCCATGGAGAAAAAGAATTTAGGATGGAATTTTTCTGTAACAGACTCATGCTTTTAACACTGTCTTTGCAGTAGAAGTTGAGCCACTGGAATGCAAGTGGAAGATCACTAAGTCAGTGAATTTCTGTTCGAAGTGGACATTTTCCACAAGTTTTAGGAGAGGCAAAAAGCACAAGATTTTAAATACCGCCACAGTTCTGTCTGTAGACCCACTAACATTTCCTTCTATATGTTCCAATAAAGACAAGACTCATTGAAGTTGGACTGTGGTTAACTGAGCTAAATGGTTACATTTCCTGTCTCCCCTTTGTTATGAGCTTCTAAGAGGTGACAATCCAGCACAGGCTTTCTTATACGGCTGGCTAGCTGAGACCTTGTCAGGAAAAGCATGAACTGCACCTCATTCCAGTGAGGATCGTGATTTGCAAGTTATCCGTTATGCACAGTCGTAGCAATACATAGCAACTCGAAGAAGCTACTGCCAAAGAACAAGACACTAGAGGAACTCAAGAGTGGGCCGAACACTTGCCTGTGTTAAACTAATCCACTTTGTTTGGCACAAATCCAAAGGCATTGATATGCTAGACACCACATTCAGGCTAGAACACAAATAAATGATGACCACGCTAATATAAATTTCACATATACATTAGGTGATCAGTACCAAACCCCTATCCATAGCCCTGGGTATTAAGAATAAGGAAGCTGAATTCAGCCAAACCTACATGCCAATCTAGAGGACTAGCTCAGCACAATCTTGACATACTTATTTTCAGTTACTCAGTAAGGGATTATGGACACTGCTAATTATTTTTGTATGATTAAAAAAATGTAACCTGCAATCCTATGTTAATTCTTGATTTCATTATGCAAAACAAAAGGACTTTTAAGCTCTCTCTTCAGCTACTGCAAATGTAACGTTATCTTTCATTCACATCCTAACTTTATTGCAAATCTATAGTCTAGCCAAAGATGTCATTTGCTAACTACAAGCAGCAAAGCCTTCTGCTGTCATGCAGCTCCTCATTGTTCAATTTATCTTTGGCACCGAAGTCTTGCACTGGCTGTCACATCTGAAAGAAAGTCAATTGCAAAATAAAGGATGCTACTCACAGAGATCGGTTCCATACTTCAGTCCAACTTTGGGGACCCAGCCCTTACTGCGGAAGTAATGATATGCCATGTAAATAGTTTTAAAACTGGGCTTCACTTCACTGAAAAATTCCCATAGCTTCAGAATTGTTAAGGGCTCCTGGAAATCAAGCAAAGGCATTAACACATCTATATTAATATTATATCACATAGAGAATACCGTGTATAGTACAGCACAGCAGCAAAATATCAAATATCACAGTCCCACTGCAAAGAGAACGAACTTCAGGCAATAAAATGTGAAATCCCTAAGTACAAGACAGAATCTTGTAGTTTTAATTTATTTTTTTAATCATTTCATGATTACTCCCATAAGGCTTTTACTTAAAAGAAAATCTGATAAATCTTAAACTAGAAGCATAGGTTTCAATTATTTTATCCTTACATTAGCAGTAGTTTGATATATTTATAAACTAATGCTTAAAATGCCACTGAATTTTCTTGTTTCAGGAAAGAAAGAATATTCACCATATTATTACTCCCATGCTTCCTTTCCCTATATTTATTGCATAAATTACAACGAGAAAACTTTCTCTCCAGAAAGACCCTGCTTAGATACATTTCTCTGGGTAGACATAACACTTTCAGACCAATACTTTAAAAACAGAAATATAATTATTTGTAATAAAATTTTCCCAATTACTGTGCCTTCTCCTCTTTTGGAATTAACAGCATACAATGCTGCCAGAATCAGTAAAAAAAAAAAATTCAGTCCAAAACAGTTCAAAACTAATGGCATCCCCATTACTTCAAGGTCAGTCTCATCTCTTACCTCACCGTAATAAATAGTTAAACATCCCAGAGCATACACCAAGAAAAAAGCCTGAAAAAATAAACAGAGTAAATTTTAACTGGTATCTAGACTCTTCCTGTAGTTTATATTTCACACACGAACAAAGGCTCACGTTCATTTTATACAAGAATCCTAACATCATCAGACAAACAAGTTGCCTGAAATTTTCATTTGAGCTTTCTCTTTACAACCTTTAAATTTCATCTAATACAAAACTACAAAAAAAATCTATTCGCGCCCTGTAGACTCCTGAAGGCACTGTATTAAAGTAACGTGGATATATTTAGTAGTAGCACAATAGAAACAGGATTTATATAAATATTATACTCCTCATATTTCTACACTTAACTCCTGTAACTGGTCTCTTTGATGTCAGTGGGAGAAGCAAATGGGATTGGACCCTACTTTTTTTTTTAAAAAAAAAAACATTTCCTGTAATTACTGCAGGTTCTTCAAAAAATTGTTTAATGACCAAAACATCCCAAATATTTAGGGGACACGGGAGAACCCTGTACTTCAGGGACAGATATTAAATTACAGTGTAATATATATCAATGCTTACTTTTGGTGGTTAAAACATACACTACAACTTATTTGAAACATACCTCTTCCAAGCTGAGTTGCAAATATTCGAAAATCCTAAATGGATTTTTTCTACACACCAGTTTTTCCTTCTTGACAAGCTACAATAAAAATTTGATATATTACTAAAACTTTAAACTGGGAAAAAACACCACATTCTTAAATTAGCAGTGATTACATGATTTCTCTGAAAGAACAGGACTCTCTTTAGCCTTACATTTTCTTGCTCATGAGCAGAGTCACTTTCAGGACATAAACCACTTTCGTCTTCCTCCTCCACCAAGACATATTCTGGAGCACATTCGTTTGACTCAGCCATCTCACAAGATTTGTGTTCAGTGCTCTCCTTAGCCTTGCAGCTGCAACGCACACAAAAACTATGCTTCTGGCAAGACACTTCAGCTGCCTCTTTCAAGTCAGTGGGCTTCTGTTCTTTAGGGCCAAATGCAGCCACGGAATCCGAAGCTGGACCTCCTTCCGAACAGACCTTCTGGTGGCCTTCATTATGGCACTCAGGACTACAGGACTCAGGATCTACTACACTTCCAGTGTCTGCAGAAGAATGTCTGGAAAGCTCTGTATTTTCTGCATTTGGGCCCGTGCTGTTACAACTATCACCAGTTTGCTCAGCTCCCTCCTTTTCCAGAAGTGGCAACTCAAGAGGCTTGGTGTAATTTTTAAGAATTTCAGTAATGGAGCAGTCATCAAGTCCTTGCTCTTGCAGAATACTTTTAGCCCACTGAACACGACACTGGTACCTAGTAAACAAGCAAAATAAATGAAGAGTTCTAGAGCATTACAACCTCTAAATAATACCCTGTATTAAAAAAAAAAAAAAAAAAAAAAAAAAGACAAAGGAAGACTCAACACAGTACACAAAACAAATCTGAACACGCATCCCAATAACCGCCCCATAAAACACGAGAGGGCACTCCACTCCTCGGAACACTTCAGACAAGAAGGAACACCCAAGATTTTGCTACTTTCTTTGGCTTTGTTTTGACTTTTAAAATTTTTGTGGCAACAAACAGGGCTACAGAATGCTACACCAGAACTCCACATGGAGAACTACTCTGATACAGTTTCAAAAAGCAGAAACTTCAAGCAAAAACTCAGTTCGTCCAGACAAGTCTTAAGTACTAATTCCCTGAAAAAACATCTTAGTATCTGAGTTCACATGATTAAAAACTGCAACAAAGAATTTGAATATAGAGCTCTTAAATACTTCATCTATTACGCAGCTAACCACTGAGAACAGTTATCTTCAAACATGGCTTTAACTACTTTTGAAAACTTTTAAACCAAATTCCTCTCATCTCTGAGGAACAGCAATAATCCCACAGTGATTTATTAGCTGAAAACTGTAAATATGATTTACAGTTTCTAATAATTACCATAATCCCAGATGTTAGGTGTTAGTTCTCAACTTGAAGATAGCATTAATATCCAGTTCAAGACATTAATCTCTCTGTGAAAGTTACAGGTAGCTGAGCACAGTTGTCCTTAATCAAACCTGGACAATTATGGTACAACGTGCTTTACTTCTCAAAACAAAACTCTAACACAGCAATTATAAGACCAGGTAATGCTGAACTGCAAAAGCAATTAAACACAAATTTCATGTGTCAACACAAAGCACCAATCCTCTCTGAAGTCTCATAATAAAGCCATATAATTCAGTGTTGTACTTTGTTACAAAAACAGACTCCTCTTTGTTCAATGACTTAATTACCATTTAATTGGCACTTCCAACCTACTGAGACACACAGTGCACCTTCTGCACCAATGCAATGATATTTCCACTAATGCTCAGCTCTATCTCCTAACACATTAAGCAGTCACAAAGTAGACTCATAAGCATGGCAAGTGTTTCTGCAAGTAGTAGTAGTAGTAGTAATGTTGCTAGTACGTTTTTACCTAAAGTTGAAGACTGACAAAGCTGAACTTTACATTTTATAGTATTTTTCCTCTGTCATCATAGAATTAAAGCAAACACAGTATGCACGCTATGATTAGATCATACATTATTTAAGCAGAACAAAATAAATATGTGATTCCATGCTGTTTTGCTATATGGACAAACTGTCAATGCTAATAGAGACTATGGGAAAAAAGTAAAGCATTTATGTAATATAAAATTCAAGAGCTGTTTCAGCTCTATATTAATTCACTAAGAAATTGGAAAAGATTTTAAAGTCAGCCCCAGAAATTCCCTTCTCTTCCTCAACTGAGGAAGAAGTTTGCTATGCTTGCTACTGTGAATTAATTACCATGTTACTATGCATGCACTCAATCTTGGCTTCTATTTAGCATTTAATATATATAAGCTTACATGAAAAAAACAAACTATCTAATCTATTTCATTTTTTTCAAATGTAATTTATAACTGAAATACAACAGAAAGAAATAGAAGTCATCAGCATTTATATAACCAACAACCTGAAAACCAATAAGATAAAACACTAAATAGGAACTCCTACCTTCTACATTTCTACATATGATATTATTCTTGTAAAGAATATAAGTTGACTTACTTTTTTGATGTAATTATAGGCATGTTTACGTTAGCACCTGTATTAAGAAAAATTGTACATTGCTTCATCAACATTAAAAAGTTTTCATGACATTTTGATCATTGAGACAATCTACAGCCTAATAATTTTCAATTATTAGTACATTTTCAATATTGTACCATTTTGGTCCTACGTGTATTAAGGACACACGAGAACTAGAAAAGGTGCAGAGGTAATGAAGATGAAATGGTCTACACAGGATAACTAAATAAACTATTTTTCTCCAGCTTTTAAAAAGACAATTCTGCAAGGATATTATAAAATCCAGTAAGGTCTGTGTAGACTTAATTGTCATGGAACAGATGGATAAAGCACGACAGTCTTTCTCTAAGGAACCAAGAGCACACCAGCAACTACTAGCAACTAGTAGATAGACAGTTTTCACATATTCTTGCCTCATGATTTCATGGACACTAAATCTGCAGATTAAAACCTAGAAAAACTGGACAGTTATGGGAAGACACATCCAACGAATACACCTTTACTTAACAGAGTCTCAAAACAAATCAGTGGAGGTTAGAAAAATGCGCTAGGGAGATATCAACGTATGTATTTTTTCCGGGAATCTTGTACTGGCCATCATCAGAGACAAGATATGGGAATAGATGGATTTTGATCTGGCACAACAGAGAGACTCTGTGTGCTGTTTATACATGTATATAATATATGAAGTATATATGTATATATATGAAGTATATTATATATAATTACATACTATATATAATATGTAGTATATACATTGTATATAATATAATATATATGTATATATGAAGATATACATGTATATCTTCAACAAGTGAAGAGAAATCAAAAGTATTATTAGTTAGTGAATAAAGTACAAATGGGCACAATTTACCTTGCCATTTAGAAACCAGGTAAGGATTGGAAATGCTGTACACTGGTCGACTTTTCGAAAGAATACCTTTTCCAAAATAACCCTTCAAAGATAAGGAAAAAATCTTTATTTTATCATCAGACAAAAATGAACCTTTATTCAAGTGACAGAATATTTACTGCCCTCATCTGCTGAAAAAAAGTATTTGAAAACTTAAGCATGTAATCTTAGCCTAAAGCTTTTTGCTTAGCTTCTGATAACTAGCCTGATGGCACAGCCTCTTGTGCCAGTTTGGTGAAGGGCTGCATTCAGAGCTGGTCTGCGCTGATCTGTTGTCCCTGTTCTATTGAGCTTCACTGACCCAGGGACTACATTTTTTTTCTACCTTTGTACAGTGCCTGACACAGGCCAGTCTCAATTTGGGATGAGGCCTCCAAAAGTTGGATCAAAGTAGATTTAATGGGAAAGCATAACCTATGCACAGTACTCTTGCACTCAAAACTTCAACCGGGGGAGTTTTGGGTCTTTTTCCTCAATTTCAAATATTTGTCAGATGACATCTCTAAGCAGACTGTTGAAAGCAGATGCAGAAGAAAGCACCTGATGTGTGACAACGCATAACAGAAAACAGAGATGGATAAAACTACAGCTTAAGAATGGTGATGAAACGGTACTCAGACATAAAGGGCTCAGAGCTCGTATTACTCAAGAAGTAACTTCAATAAACTCTGAGCTTAAAAGAATTTTACAAGCATTTATAACGCATCAATATTCCAACTTTCTGAGCTTTAAAAACAAGAAAGTGCTTCTGCAAGACTGCATAAGCATTGAAAAAATAAACAAACATAACAGACATGAACTTTTGTTTGTTTTTGCTCATGTCACTTCATTCCAGTATTTATTTGCTGGGTTAAGGATGAAATACTTTCTGTATTTGTTACAGAAAGTATGTTTTGTACATATTTCTGGAGAGGAGGGAGATGTGGTGTGTTACTGGAGGCTAACAGGGCAGGGCAGCATGAGGCAGGCAGGTTTTAAACCAACATTATGCTCTACGGGCTCTACCTGTGCTTACACACTAGAGGTACTGTGCAGAAGCTGTACACCACCTTGTTATAGAGCCGCTCAATGTCCTCGGGGTTCCTCACAATAACATTGTTGTTCATAATTTCAGCCTGGCACATTCTGAAATCCTCCCCACCTACATCCACGGGAAAGGGGGCTTCGTACGACTCAAACACTCTTCTTTTCCTCCTCGGGGGACGGAAAACTGCTTCTGCCATTTCCTACTATTAACGTTTCCTCCTAAAAAAAAGCGGAAACAAAGCATATTGAAGAGTGAAAATTCGCCCCTTTTTACACTACCCCCACGCCGCCGCCCTCCACACACAGCGCCCGGCCCGGCCCCGCCGCCCGCCCGCACCCTCCGCAGCGCGGGGAGGCCGCGCACGCCGCCGGCCCCCGTGAGGCAGCGCCCCGAGCCCCCGCCCCGCGGGACGCTGCGCCTGCGCGGAGGCTGAGGGGGGGAATGGCGTGAGGGGAGGGAAAATGGCGGCCGCGGGCAGCGGGGAGCCTGCTCCGCTCGGGGGTGGCTGCTGCCGGCCTGGGTGCTGCCGGAGTGCCCGCAGGCTGCCCGACAGCCCCTGCTGGCGGTTCAATAAAGCGAAAAAGTCGGCGTTTTGTGTGGAACGCCTGTTACTGAAATGAGTGATGATCTTCATAATGAGGGGCGGCTGAGATACACGGGTGGGTGGAACTTTATAGCTGTGGGAGGTGAGGGAAAAAGATCGTTTTCAGCTTGAAGCGGTTGGTTTTGGCGCTGTTACAAACCCTTCACTTTGCGGTGACTCATGTGGCTGCCTAGGATAATGCAATGCTACTTGCACAATTTAACAGAGGTGATTGTGCAGCTTATTACCAGAGTTGAATTGAGGAGGAAATGGCAGTGTAATTAAAAAAAAAAAAAGTACCTGAATAAAATGCAAAGCATTTCCAGTAGGTAGTGTAATACACAATAAATGTTTGTTCATTGTCTTTTGTATTATAAAAACAAGGAGTTCTGTTTGAGGAACGGGAGTTGTGAAAACTCCCTGCTGAAGTAAGGAGCTGTATAATGCTTAGCTAGACACTATGAAAATTCTTTTGCTTAATGTAACAAAAAAGAGAACCCCCTCCCCTTCTCTCCTTCTGCAAATAAAAAAAGAAGTTGAACCACAACGCCGAGGAAGACTACGGCCTTCATCTTCACGACCACCAGAGGGACAGAGACGACCCCCTAGCAACAGTGCGCGCAGTCGCAGAATATACCAGGATGTGCTGCGTAATCCTGAAATCACCAAGATATAAAAAGGGACCCTGGCGGGGGTGAGGTGCGTGCCGTTGGCGGAGCCGAGACTCCCCGGCCGCCCAGCGCTGTTTTGCTTGCTGTTGCTTAGTCAATAAATTCCTTTCTATGATTAATGCAATGCTCTCTGAAAATTAATTAAGGGGGCAACTTGTAACAATGCCCGATTTCTAGGGTCCACACTTTGATCGTAAGGTGCAAAGTGGCCCTTTTAGATGCTGAGACCTTATTTGAGAGGAAAACCCCTCATTCCATATTCCCAAATCCTCATGCTAGGAGCTGGGGCCTCAATTTTAGGGCCCAAAGCCTCCTTATTGGGCCCAAACACGTATATGGAGGGTGCAAAACAACACTTCAGGATCCAGACCCTGAGCTGCAGAGTCCAAAGGCCCAGGTTTTGGCTCCAAAGCCTGACTTGGAGATACAAGATTTTCCTTGCTTCCAGCCACACTCTTATGGACCAGGCTGCCACTTACAAGGAACAAACCCCTATTTTTAGGGTCACAATTTTATTATAACCTTATTATTGCCACATCAGGGCCCAGGGACCATCTCTGGAACCGGGAGCAGGGCCTCTGTGGCAGGTCCTGTCCCAACGGACACAACGGACCTGGTTCCCTGCAATGCGGACTTCTTAGATGGTGAGGCCTTATTGGAGAGGAACAGCCCTCCTTTCAAATTCCCAAATCCTCATGCTAGGAGATGAGGCCTGAATGTTAGAGCCCAAAGCCTCCTCTTTGGGTCCAAACACCCATCTGGAGGGATCAAAGCATCACTTTAGGATCCAGACAGAGGAAGCGGGCTGCGCTGTCCATGATTTTTAGGCCCCAGCATCACATATTAGGGCAAAAAGCATCCTCCTTGGGCTCAAAAGCCCTTTTTAGAGAACGAACCCTCCTTTTCAGTGCCAGGATCATCATTTGCTGAGTCAAGGCCTGACTGTCACATCCCAAAGGCTCAACCTGAGAGCACAAAGCCTCTTTTTTAGCACCCAGAGCCTTCTCCTTGGGACTCAAAGCCTCAGGTTGGGGTACAAAGGCTCATTTTCTGGGTTCAAAGCCCCGTTTTAGTGTCCAGAGACCCCCATGCTAGGCTCTAAAACTTCATTCTTCATGGCTGACGTCTCATGCTCAGGCTCCAAACCCTGATTTTCAGGGCCCAGACGCTGCTTTGGGATCCTAAGTCCCCTGCTGATTGCCTACCTTCTCCTTTGTGGGGCCAAGAGTCTCCTTTTTGGTGACCAAAGCCTTAATATTAGGGCCTGGAGACCCAACTCTTGAATTCAGAGCCGCCTTCTTGGGGCCTTCCTCATTAGGATCAAAGGTCTCATTTTCACCCTATAACCCCTTCTCTTCAGGGCTAAGAGCATCTTTTGCAGATCCAAAGCCTTTTTCTCACCCTTTCTTTGCAGCTGAGAAGCATACAGGCATGGCACCAAGGCTCCTCTTTATAGACCACAGCCTTGTTCTTAAGCACCCAGCTTTCAGGACGTTTTCAGGACAAGAGAGCCTATAGTTGGGATCCAAAGCCGCCTTTATCACCTACACCCTCTGTTTTTGGACACAGGCTCTCATTTTCAGGGCCCAAAGCATTCTTTTTAGACCTCAGCATCACATATTAGGGCAGAAAGCCTCTTCCTGGGACTCCAAAGCCTTGTTTGCAAGGATAACCCCTCCTTTTTAGTGGCTTTTTCTTGCTTCCACGTCAATGTCGTGGACCAGGCGGCCACTTCCAAGGAACAGTTCCCCGTGTTTAGGGTCCACAATGTTATTCTAATTTAGTCTGCCCGCTGCAGGGCCCAGGCAGCGTCTCCGGAACCGGCAGCAGGGCCTCTGGGGCGGGTCCTGTCCCAACAGCCACAACGGACCTGGTTCCGTGCAGCAGCGACGGCTTGGAGTGCTCCCACGTGCTCCAGGTGCGAAGCAAAGGCACAAAGCGCGGGCACCTTGCCCCAGAAAGCCAGCGCAGGAGCCAGGGCTGAGGAGCAGGTGGGGCAGCGCTGCCAGGGCTGCGCAGCGGGGCCGGCCCCAAGGGGCCTGGTTCGGCAGTGGGGCTGGGGGCAGCCCCGGGCAGGGGGACCTCCCTCCAGGACAGGGGCTGGCGTCTGCAGGCCCCTGGGGACAGTACCCCCGCGGGGCTCTGGGGCCACCCGCGGGGGCCTGGGGCCGGTGGCAGCGGTGGCACTTTGTGGCATCCCTCCCCCGCCACAGGAGCAGGAGCCACATTCCCTCCTGAGCGCTCCCGGCAGGATGTCAGGGAGACCCCCCTGCTCCCCGCGAGCGGCCTGGCTGGAGGAGGCTGGGGCCTCCCCGGCCTCCAGGCCCCAGCCGCAGCCCTATGAGGAGACTGAGGTGCAGCCACTGCAGGCGCCCTCTGGCTCAGGCGTGGGCCCTTCTGCCTCGGCCGTGGCGCATCAGGAGGAAGAGGACGCCCTGAGCTTCCTCCGCGCTTGCTGCAGCCGCAGACCCAAGGTACCGCTCGCTTTTGTGCCGCGGCTGCTGGCCTCCTGCGGGCAGCCCCTGCTGGGCTCCCCTGACCCGCTCGCTCGTCTCTCCCCTCCGCGGCTCAGCGAGAGGCGCAGAAGCTGAGGTTTCTGGCCTCCGTCTGCGACGCCTGCCAAGCCGCCGTCGCGGACCCGCACACGTGGGACGCGGTGTATTTCTGCCAGCTGGAGGTGGCGCAGAGCATCGAGGTGAGGGGACGCCCTGCCCCGCGGGGAGCACCCTCTGGCCGGGTGCTGGGCACCGGGAGCCGTCTGGGACGGGGCAGCCATCCTGTAGGCTGTAGGCCAGCCCCTGGAGCCGCTCGCTGGCCAGGGGACGCTGCCCTGTGCCATCCATCGCGCTGTGCCCTGCAGGCGCTGCTGCAGGAGGAGCCCAGCGATCGCCTGGACACGGAGGTGCGGCAGAAAGCCATGCTCGCCATCGCCGCCATGAGGTACCTGGGCCAGCGCGGGCTTGGCCGCCACTCCCGGCCAGGGGCCCCGAGTGGGGCACAGGGTGCCGCACAGGGGGCGTTCCACACCTCTGCCCCCCTCCCCTTGCAGCACAGCGCGGCTGCTGCCGCCGGCCATGACCAACGGCCTCCTGCGCGCCTGCTTCCGCGGGGTCTTCCACCTCCCTGGCCACGAGGACGGGACAGACATGGACACGTCTCTCTACGTCAGGGTATGCACGGGCTGGGCTCTGGGGATGCCACTGCTCCGTGTTCGGGCGCCCCGAGCCCTGTCCTCCTCTTTGCAGACCGTGGAAGCCCTGGACAGCCTGCTGCAGGCGCTGGTGAGCAGCGCCGGCGCCTGCGGCCTCCTGGAGCTGCAGAACATCGTGAAGGTGGGGCTGGGCAAAGGCTGGGCTTCAGCAGGACGGGGACACGGCAACCCGCCTGGCCAGCGCAGCGGGGGGACGACGGCAAGGAGCAGTGCTCCGTGCTGCGGGCACACCAGCAGCTTTTCTCCCCCCAGCTCCTGCTGCCCTTCACCCAGCAGCAGCCGGAGGCCGTGGAGGAGAGGGCCATGGCGCGGATCGCCGGGCTGGCCGCCTTCCTCAACACCTGCTCCTTACCCCAGGTAGGGAGCCCCTGCTGCAGGCAGCCCTGGCGCCCCCGGCCTCGCTCCCCGGCCGCGGCTCTCCCCAGCTCCAGGCTTGCGCAGAGCCGGGGCTGGGGCTGGGGCCCTGCCGCCCCGCTCAGCCGTGCTCCCGCGCTGCCTCTCTCCCCAGGTCAGCTCCTGCTTTGCAGGAGCCACAGTGCTGAGGCATCATCACCCCGAGAAGCACCGCTTCGCCTTGCTGGGGAGGCTGGTGGGGTACCTCCTCCTGTGCTGCACCTGCGAGAGTGAGGGAAAAAGCCACGAGGCAGCCAAGGCTGTGCGCCACCTCTGCCTCTTCGTCACACAGCAAAGAAGTGAGCGGAGCCGCGTCGGGCCGGGTCCCTCCAGACACGGGCACAGCCAGGCCAGCACCAGGCCGCCTGGGCCCCTCTCCTCAGCAGGAGAGACCCGAGCGAGCGAGCGAGCGAGCCCGGCTGCCTTGCCGCGGGCTGACGAGCCCTTCCCCCTGCCCTGAGCGCGAGAGCCCGGGCCCTCCCTGGCCGCGCTGCCCCCGGCTCTGCTCTGGCATGCCCCCTTCCTGCCAGGGAGGCTTGTGCCCGAGCCCCCGGCTGCCACTGCCAGTTCCCCAGGCCCCCCCGCCGACAGACACTGTGTCCGCTTTTCTCCAGGCACAAGGCTGTGCGACCAGGATGCCGAGCAGCTGCAGGGCTGGCAGAGCTGGCGAGCTCACCTGTCCTTGCAGCTCTCCGAAGACAGCAACAGCAACAGGATGTTCATGGTGAGAAGCGCCAGCCCCGAGCCCTGAGCCCTGAGCCCTGAGCCCCGGAGGAGAGCCCGACCCTGCGACAGCAGCAAGAGGACCGGCGCTGTCCCCGACAAAGCCCGGTCCCCACGGGGCCCGCACGCGGCCGCACCCCAGCCGTCGCCCAGCCCCTGCTCCCAGCTCTCCTGGGGCGCTGGGAGCAGCAGGGCTGAGCGGGGCCGTCGCAGCCCTCGCGGTGGCTGACGTGCTGCCCTTCCTCCCACAGATCTTCATGAAGTACCTGCAGCCCTCGGAACGCCTGGGCGTCTTCCTCGCCGCCGTGCAGAGCATGAGAGCCCCGAGTCCCCACAGCACCGAGCTGGCTGCCCACATGGTGGACGTGCTGGCGGCAGAGACCGACTTCCATTCGGGACAGGTGGGTGCCCGCCAGCACCCCCGGCCACGGCCACGGCTCCAGCCTCCAGAGCTCCTCGGGGCTCTGTTCCTGCCCTGGTGCCGGCCCAGTCTCAGCCGTGTCCCACCGGCAGGTGCTCCACATCGTGTGGGCCATCTACAGAAGCCTGCCGTCCGTCAGAGCCGCGCTGGCCCTTCAGAGCCTGGACAGGGCCCTGCTGCTGCTGGCCAGCAAGTGCCCCAGGGAGACGGTTGCCAGCCTGCTGCAGTGCTCGCTGACCTGCACCAGGTACGGGGCCCAGCAGGGCTCCTCTCGCACACCCCCAAAGCCGTCAGCCGGGCCGGGGGCGGCCCTGCTGACAGCCCGGGGGTCCCGCAGCGTCGCCGTCACCATGTGGAGGGCGATGGTGTCTGAGCCCCCAGCCACAGAGAGGGTGCTGCGCGAGCTGCTCTGCATCCTCATGAACCAGTCTGGCTGCAAGACATCCACCTCCACCAAGGACCACCCGCGCATCCTGGCCCTGGCCGTGAGTTCCTCGCTTGCCCGTCTGCGTCTCCGTCGGGCAGGGGCCGGGGCAGGGGCCGGGGCAGGGGCAGGGGCAGGGGCAGGGGCAGGGGCAGGGGCAGGGGCAGGGGCGGGCCCCGCTCCCCTCCCCTGGCCCCTGCCAGCCTTCTCCGCACCCTGGGGCACCAGCCTGGGGGGCTGCGTCCTCCTCTGTCCCTCCCTGCCCACGCCTCCGCCTCCGGGTGCTTCCTGCAGGCAGCAAGGCCCCTCCACGAGATCCTCCTGCTGCCTACCAGCCGGGGGGAGGCGAAGGCCATTTTCCCCCAGCTCTTCCTGGCCCTCCTCTTCCAAGTGTCCTTCACCACGGAGCTGAAGCTGCAGGAGGTGCAGGTCTTCTGGGAGAAGCACCGGCAGGACCTGCTCACTCCCGTCAGGTGCCACATCCCCGGCCCCTGCTGCTCAGAGGAGCCCAGGGCTGGGGCTCCCGGCGTGACCCGGGCCCTTCTCTGCCTGCAGGTCCACGGTGCAGGCCCTGAAAGCGCTGCTCCGCAGCGTGGGCCTGGAGAGCCAGGTGCTGGCCATCGAGGCGCAGGGTGGCTGGGCCGCGCTTCTCAGCGCCGAGAGCCACCTCTGGGGCGTGCAGGTGGTGGCCAGGTGAGAGCCCCTCGTTGGCACCATCCCAGCCCTGGAGGTGAAAGGGGCTTCTTGGAGGAAGTGCTGCCACAGCATGGGTGCCCGTGGCCGCTGGGCTGGTGGCAAAAGAGAGCGCTGCAAAGCCAGGAGAGCTGGGCCCGCCCGGCTCGGGGCTGACGGCGCCTGCTTGCCGTTCTCCCTGCCAGGGAAATGAAGGAGTTGCCCAGGAGCCTGCGCGCCACCATCATCCACCAGCTGGTTGAGCTGCTCCGCACGGAGGCCTCCTCCTGGCAGACGGTGGCCATGGTCATCCTCAGCAAGGTGAGCAGGGGCAGCAGGAGCAGCGAGCCCACGTGGGGCTCTGCACAAGCCCTGCTGCCTCGGGGCCAGGCTTGGCCGTGCCCTGGCATTCCTGCCCTGGCATTCTTGCTGCTGAGCCGGCACTGCGCCCCACGTCCTTTTCAGCTGCTGGAGTGCACAGAGCTCGGCGACGAGCTGGACTGCGTCGTGAGCCTCTTTGCCAGCTACCTGCAGAGCCCGTGCCTGGGCATGCAGAGCCTGGTGCTCAGGGCGATCCTGGGGCTCACCAAGAGGCCGGCCACGGTGAGCGGGGGCAGCCGGCAACGCCACGAGTGCCGCGGCTTGGGCTGGGCTGGCCCCCGGCTCTTGTGGCTCGGCACCTTGCCAGGCAGTGGGGAGGGGAAGGGGCGTTGGGCGGGCTGGGAGAGTGTTTTCGCCCAGGGGGCAGTCATTGCTTTCCCCAAAGGAAGGTGTTTTGTTCACACAGGTGAGGCAAACGCTCGTCCTGCTGCCGAGCATCACGGAGCAGCTGCAGGCTGCAGACAGCGACACCTGCGCTGTCGCTCTGCCCGTGCTCAGCACCATGCTGCAGCTCCTGGAGGGGAGGACGCTCAGCCTCGCGGCTCTGGAGCTGGCCGGCAAGCTCCCAGCCCTCTTTGGCGACGTAAGGCTGCGTCCCCATGGCTGCGTCCCTGGGACAGCCCGCTGGGGGCTCTCCCTGCCCGCTTCCCAGCCCTGGGCGCTGCGAGCCCTTGGGCAGGCTCGTTTTGCAGCGCTTTTGGGGGATCGGGGACTTTGCCCACAGCAGGACCCATGTCCCCCTCTCGCCCTCCCCAGGACTCAAGTACGGTGCGGCTTCTCTCTATTCGCCTCTTCCTCGACACGCTGGGCTTTGTGAAGGGCAGCCAAGAGAAGCTGCAGCAGGTGGCACACAGGAGCCTGCTCCCGCTGTCCCTCCACCTGCACGACCAGGACGAGAGCGTGGCCGAGGTGGGCATTTTGCTCCTCGGGGGAGGGCGATGCTGACTGCCTGCCCTGCCCTGCCCTGCCTTGGGGGCCCCCGAGCACCAGGGGTGCTGCAGCTGCTGGCAGCGTTAGGCTCCACTGAGGCCCCCTCCCTGCGGAGGGGCTGCGGGGGGGGGAGCAGGGTCTTCTGCCCAGGCTCTGCTGCCATCTCAGCTGTTCTGCAGGCCTCCCGGGAAGCCCTCCTTGGTGTTGCGCGCTTCCTGCGCTGGAGGCAGCTGGCGCACCTGGCCGAGACGCTGCAGAGCTGGAAGATCGTCGAGTGCCTGGTACGCACAGTTCTGCACCCAGGGCCGGGGCTGGGGCCGGGGCCGGGGCCGCCCTGCGCTGAGCCCGCGCCCTTCCCTCTGCAGCTGGCCAGGAGGAGCAGCGCAGCAGAGGAGTACCTGGCCCAGAGCCTGCCCTACCTGCAGAGCCTGCAGGAGCCCCTGCGGCGGGAGGCTGTGAGGTTCACTGGTGAGCCGCGAGCCTGGGGTCCCCTGTCCCTGTGCCTTCGTGCTGCGCCCCGGGGAGCAGCCGGGGGCGCTGACAGGCCGTGTGTCCCCAGGGCTCGTGGGGAGGCACCTGCTGGATCAGCACCAGAGCAAGAGCCAGGACATCTGCCAAGGTGAGCCAGGGAGGGGGATGGCAGGAGCCTGTCCCCTGCTCCCTCCTGGCTGTGCGGAGAGCTGGGGGCAACGTCTGTGGGGGGCTGGGCGCTCTGTGGGTACAGGGCCGTCACCTCGCCTCTCCTCTGTTCTCTCAGTCCTGCAAGGCTTGGCAAATGACCCCTGCAAGTCGGTCTCGTCGCTGGCGATTCAGACGGTGCTGATCCTGCAAGCACCAAGGCCACGCTCGCGCTTCAGCTTTCGGCAGCTGTGCTCCAGGCTGCAGAAGGCGTGGAGGAGGCGACGCTCTTCCCCGGCAGGCAGCTAAGCGTGCTGGAAGGCTCCCGGCATCTCCTCCTGCCTGCGGCGCAGCCCCGCTCCCCGGGCACGTTCCCTCCACTTCTCCGGCCTTCTGCGTGCCGGGAGCACGCCCGAAGCAGCTCCCGAAGCCCATGAACAACAGGGCTTCAGCCGGCGCCTCTCCAGCAGCGAGCCTGCTCCAAGACCCCCGCTTCGGCCTGGGACACTGCCAGGGATGGCACAGCCGCAGCTCCACTGGGCCACCCGCCCTCAGCGCGGAAAGTGGCCTCCTCCTCCTCCTCGTTGCCATCAGAGCTGGCCAGCAGCATCCTCAGCTACACGCAGGCTGTGCCTCCCCAGCCCCGGGGGCACTGTGCAGCCCTCCCTGGAGCGCAGCTCTGCGCACACGCCCCACTCCTGGGGGCCTTGCTCTTTTGCCCTCTCTCTGGCCTTTCGCGTGGTCTCCCCCATTTTCTTCTCTTCCCTTCCCTTCCCTTCCCTTCCCTTCCTTCCCTTCCCTTCCCTTCCCTTCCCTTCCCTTCCCTTCCCTTCCCTTCCCTTCCCTTCCCTTCCCTTCCCTTCCCTTCCCTTCCCTTCCCTTCCCTTCCCTTCCCTTCCCTTCCCTTCCCTTCCCTGCCCTGCCCTGCCCTGCCCTGCCCTGCCCTGCCCTGCCCTGCCCTGCCCTGCCCTGCCCTGCCCTGCCCTGCCCGTCCCTTCATTTTTTTCCTCCCTCTCCCTTTTCCCTTTAATTAAACTTTTTGTATGTCAAACCACGAGCTCCACGTGTCTGTCGTATTTTCTCCCCCTGCCTCTTGGAGGAGGGGCAGGGAGAGAGCGGCCTTGCTGGAACTCGGCTGCCCACCTGAGGAAAACCAGCACCCTGTTGGGACAGCAGGGGCGTGCTGGAGTGCTGCCTTTCTCCACTTTACCATTTGCCCGGAGGAACGATCTGCCCCCTCTGACTCTGGCCAGCACTGAGCGTCCTTTTGGGATGCTGCCAGGCTGCACGAGGACAGCCAGGCGCTGTAGCACTGGGGAGAGAGTCTCCAAGTGCCTTCCCTCCAGAGGCCAGCTCTTCTGAAGACAGCAGTTTCCCCCAGCAGGGGGAAACCAAAACCAGTGCTTTGTGTCCCAAAGAAGAGGCTCTGAGCACAGAACCAGAGGCCTTGGGTCTGAAAAATCAAATAAATAAATAAATAGAAAAAAATAAACAAAACAAAGAAAAGGAAAAAAGAAAGGGAAAAATGGTGTTGGATCCTAAAAGGCTTCTTTGGTCCTTCAAAGTCTCTGGGCTGCATGGTCCCAAACCCCAGTTTTAAAGTCCAAAGCCTCACTACTTTGAGGACCACCCCTTGGTTAGGATCCAAAGGATCTTCATTAGTAGGCCCCCGTGTTTCCTTGTTTGCCTGCCACCGCCTTCTTTTCAGGGTCCAGCACCTCCACTTGGGATCCAAAGTCGTCTTTTGATCTCGTGACCCCTCAGAATTGAGCCCCAGGCTCTACGTTCTAGTGAACAAATCTTGCTTTTCAGGGCCCTGCAACTCCATGCTGATCCAAAGGGGACTTTTTATGGCTTACCTCCTCAGTTTTCAAGCCCACGCCATCATTTTTAGGGCACAATGCCTTACTTTGGTGTTTCACAGTTTCATTGTAGGCTGCAAAGCTGCCTTTACAGGGTGCAATACCTTAGCTGACAGGAACCCTCTTTCATTTTTGGTTTCAAAATGTTCATTCGAAGAGCCAAGGCCTGAGGCTTTGGGCCCAAAGCCTCCTTTTCGGGTCCAAACACCCATCTGGAGGGAGCAAAGCATTGCTCTTGGATCTACACAGAGGAGGGCAGGCTGTGCTGTCTGACATTTCTAGGCCTCGGCCTCACATAGTAGGGCAAAAGCCTCTTCCTTGGGCTCAAAAGCCTTGATTGAAAGGATAACCTCTCCTGGTTTTTTGTTGCTTACACATCAACCTTAGAGACCAGGCTGCCATTTCCAAGGAACAATTCCCTATTTTTAGGATCCACAATTCTATTATAAGATGCAACGCGGCCTTCTTAGATGGCCAGGCCTCCCCCTTAACCTAGCTTCTGGATCCAATGTCAGATTTTTCTTGCTTCCAGCCACACTCTTACGGACCAGGCTGCCCGTTTTAGGGCAACATGCCCAATTTCTAGGGTCCACACTTTGATCGTAAGGTGCAAAGCGGCCCTTTTAGATGCCGAGGCCTTATTTGAGAGGAAAACCCCTCATTCCATATTCCCAAATCCTCATGCTGGGAGCCGAGGCCTGAATTTTAGGGTCCAAAGCCTCCTCTTTCGGTCCAAACACCTAGATGGAGGAAACAAAGCAGCACTTCAGGATCCAGACCCTGAGCTGCAGAGTCCAAAGGCCCAGCTTTCAGCTCCAAAGCCTGACTTGGAGATACAAGACACGCCCTGTCCTCCTCCTCACTGCCTCTTGCCTCCTCCCCTCCTGATACTTTACGGTCTCAAACCTCATTATTAGGGCCCCATGCTTCCTTATTTCACCCCAAATCGCTATGTTCAGGGTCCACAACCTCCACTTGGTATCTGAACTCTTCTTCTGATTGCCTTAACCTTCCATTTAAGAGACAGGGTGCTCCTTTCAAGTGACTGAGTGCTTTGGGTCAGGGCCCTGACACTTGCTTCTGGATCCAAAGCTAGATTTTCCTTGCTTCCAGCCACACTCTTACTAGCCAGGCTGCCATTTTTAGGGCACAATGCCCGATTTTTAGGGTCCACATTTTCAATGCAAGGTGCAAAGCGGCCTTTTTAAATGGCCTAATTTTAGGTTCCAAAGCCTCCTTTTCGGGTCCAAGCACCCATCCGGAGGGAGCAAAGCATCACTTCAAGATCCAGACAGAGCAGGGCGGGCCGCGCTCCCTGTCACGGTGACAGCCTGCTGCACTGCCTGCCTGTGACCAGGCCACACGGGACACCTCGGTTTGGACAAGGCGCCCTCCACAGCGCAGTGCAGCCAGTGGGGATGCAACAGGCTTTTTATCACCTACACCCTCCGTTTTTGGACGCAGGCCCTCATTTTTAGGGACCAAAACATTTTTGTTTTAGTCCTCAGCGTCACATATTAGGGCAGAAAGCCTCTTCCTTAGGCTCCAAAGCCTTGTTTGAAAGGAGAAACTGTCTTTTTTAGTGGCTTTTTCTTGTTTACACCCACAATCTTAAGGACCGGGCTGCCATTTTCAAGGAAGAAATCCTTGATTTTAGGGTCCACACGTTCACTGCAAGTTGACAAGCGGCCTTCTTAGATGCTGAGGCCTTCTTTGAGAGGCCTCACCCCATTCCAAATTCCCAAATCCTCATGCTGGGAGCCGAGGCCTGAATTTTACAGTCCAAATACTCCTTTGTGGGTCCAAACATCTAGATGGAGGGTGCAAAACAACACTTTTGAATCCAGACCCTGAGCTGCAGAGTCCAAAGGCCCAGCTTTCAGCTCCAAAGCCTGACTTGGAGATACAAGACACGCCCTCTCCTCCTCCTCACTGCCTCTTGCCTCCTCCCCTCCTGATATTTTAACACGCCATCTAGGAATGATGTGTTGCATCTTATAATAAAATTGTGGACGCTAAAAATAGGGAATTGCCCCTTGGAAATGGCAGCCTGCTCTGTAGGATTGACGTGTAAGCAAGACCAATCCTGTCAAAAGGAGGGGTTATCCTTTCAAACAAGACTTTGGAGCCCAAGGAAGAGGCTTTCTGCCTTAATATGTGACTCTGGGGCCTAAAAAGAATGCTTTGGGCCCTAAAAGTGAGAGCCTGGGTCCAAAAACGGAGGGTGTAGGTGATAAAGGCGGCTTTGAATCCCAGCTATAGGCTCTCTTGTCCTGAAAACGTCCTGAAAGCTGGGTGCTTAAGAACAAGGCTGTGGTCTATAAAGAGGAGCCTTGGTGCCATGCCTGTATGCTTCTCAGCTGCAAAGAAAGGGTGAGATAAAGGGTTTGGATCCGCAAAGGTGCTCTTAGCCCTGAAGTGAACGGGTAATAGGGTGAAAATGAGACATTTGGCCCTAATGAGGAAGGCCCCAAGAAGGCGGCTCTGAATTCAAGAGGTGGGTGTCCAGGCCCTAATATTAAGGCTTTGATCACCACAAATTAGACTCTTGGCCTACAAAGGAGTAGGTAGGCAATCAGGAGGGGAATTAGGATCATAATGCAGCCTCTGGGCCCTGAAAATCAGGGTTTGGAGCCTGAGCATGAGACGTCAGCCATGAAGAATGAAGTTTTAGAGCCTAGCATGGGGGTCTCTGGACACTAAAATGGGGCTTTGAACCCAGAAAATGAGCCTTTGTACCCCAACCTGAGGCTTTGAGTCCCAAGGAGAAGGCTCTGGGTGCTAAAAAAGAGGCTTTGGGCTCTCAGGTTGAGCCTTTGGGATGTGACAGTCAGGCCTTGACTCAGCAAATGATGATCCTGGCACTGAAAAGGAGGGTTCGTTCTCTAAAAAGGGCTTTGAGCCCAAGGAGGATGCTTTTTGCCCTAATATGTGATGCTGGGGCCTAAAAATCATGGACAGCGCAGCCCGCTTCCTCTGTCTGGATCCTAAAGTGATGCTTTGATCCCTCCAGATGGGTGTTTGGACCCAAAGAGGAGGCTTTGGGCTCTAACATTCAGGCCTCATCTCCTAGCATGAGGATTTGGGAATTTGAAAGGAGGGCTGTTCCTCTCCAATAAGGCCTCGCCATCTAAGAAGTCCGCATTGCAGGGAACCAGGTCCGTTGTGTCCGTTGGGACAGGACCTGCCACAGAGGCCCTGCTCCCGGTTCCAGAGATGGTCCCTGGGCCCTGATGTGGCAATAATAAGGTTATAATAAAATTGTGACCCTAAAAATAGGGGTTTGTTCCTTGTAAGTGGCAGCCTGGTCTGTAAGATTAATGTGTAAGCAAGAAAAAGCCACTAAAAAGGAGGGGTTACCCTTTCAGACAAGGCTTTCAAGCCCAAGGAAGAGGCTTTCTGCCCTAATATGTGATGCTGGGGCCTAAAAATGATGGACAGTGCGGCCTGCCCTCCACTCTCTGCTTCCTCGAAAGGATGTTTGGACCCCAAAATTCAGGCCTCGGATCCTAGCATGAGGATTTGGGAATTTAAAAGGAGGGGTGCCCTTCTGATTGCCTTGGATGAGGCAATCAGAAGAAGAGTTCAGATACCAAGTGGAGGTTGTGGACCCTGAACATAGGGATTTGGGGTGAAATAAGGAAGCATGGGGCCCTAATAATGAGGTTTTGGACTGTTAAAATTTCATGCGGGGAGGAGGCAAGAGGCAGTGAGGAGGAGGAGAGGGCGTGTCTTGTATCTCCAAGTCAGGCTTTGGAGCTGAAAGCTGGGCCTTTGGACTCTGCAGCTCAGGGTCTGGGTTCAAAAGTGTTGTTTTGCACCCTCCATCTAGATGTTTGGACCCACAAAGGAGTATTTGGACTGTAAAATTCAGGCCTCGGCTCCCAGCATGAGGATTTGGGAATTTGGAATGGGGTGAGGCCTCTCAAAGAAGGCCTCAGC